GGGACGGCCCCGGGAGCAGTTACGCATGTGCTGTGCATGTCCAATTTTAGGCGGTAGTGCACGGCAGAAATCCTTCCTTTGCCCGATAAGCGGTCCCCCGGGATGGAGGATTCGCGATAAAGTTACCTATCAATCCACCCACCCACGCCCGCCCGCCCGCCCGCACGCTCAACTGACACCCATCGCCATCCTTGCAGTGCAGTGAGCGAGAGCGAGAGCGCATGTCCCTTTGAACGAACGTCCATTGTACTGTGTCTTCGACTCTTGTTGCGATTTCATTCTCATACCATTCATCCTCCGAACCGGGCTTATCCTACCGTACCAATACATACTCGACACCGACGAAGAAGTACATAATCAGTCATACCTACTAGCCTCTACCGAGCCCGACCTAACCCAACCCGATCGCATTCCGTCGCGAACCTCGATCCCCGCGAACGAACGAAGCCGAATACAAGACCAGTCAGTCGCTTGCCGGACAAGCCCGCGCCGTGAACCTATAACCTAAAACCGAGAAACAACGAGAAACGAGAGCCGAACGTTCCATAACCAGACAAGACAAGATGAGCTTCCCTGGTATGCCCGGCACTGGAGGTGCGCCCGCTGGTGGTGTTGGTGCTGCGCCTGGAGGGTTCGATCCTAATGATCCGAATATTAAGTGGGTTAGTAGTCCCCCGGCACGGCCCGGACCCTTTTTTTGTTGCTGTGGAGGAGGAGGTGGTGGTGGTGGAGGTGGTTGTGATGGTGGTGATTGCTCGTCAGCTATAGCTAGCTATGCCGGCTATGCCAGCTATGTCTGTCCATGTTCTTGTTTGTGCCTGCCTGGCTGTGGCATCGCATAGACTGGACTGGTCTGGTCTGGCGGGCGAGCGGGCAAGCAGGCGAGCGATGTTGAGACGCGATGTTGAGACAGAGATACTTGGTTACTTGAAACAAGGATCGGAAGAGAGATCGAAAGAGAGGATCGAAAGACAAAATGCGAAAAGAGATGATGCTAACGAGACGATAAAACACCCCGCAGATGCAAAAAGCCATGGAATCATGCTTCGCAAAGACAGTCATGAGCGGTGGCGCCGGCTTCGCGCTAGGTGGTGTGTTTGGAATGTTTATGGCTTCGGTACGTTTTCTCTTCTCTCCCTCCCCCTTTCCCATCCTCACAACCCTCCAACTAACTCCCCTCCCCCCATTAGATGGCCTACGACACCCCCTACCACTCCCCCACCACCCCCGGCACCGGCCCCGGCGCCAACCCCGCCGCCGCCGGCATCCCCGGCTACAAGCCCGTCGACCTCTCGTCCATGCCGCTGAAGGAACAGCTCAAACACGGCTTCAAGGACATGGGCCAGCGATCGTACAGCACAGCCAAGAACTTCGCCAAGGTCGGCGCCCTGTTTTCGGGTATCGAGTGCGGTATTGAGGGGTTGAGGGCTAAGAATGATCTTGGTAATGGTGTTGCTGCTGGGTGTTTGACGGGCGCGATTCTGGCGAAGAATGGAGGTCCTCAAGCGGCGGCGGTGGGGTGTGCGGGGTTTGCGGCGTTTAGTGCGGCTATTGATGCTTGGATGAGGATGCCTAGTGAGGAGGAGTGAGTTAGGGTTGAGGAGGATTGAGTGAGGGGTGAGGGGTTGAAGAAGAAGAAGGGGGTGAGAAGGGGGTGAGAAGGGGGTGAGAAGGGGGTGAGAAGGGGGTGAGAAGGGGGTGAGAAGAGGAGGAGGAGGAGGGGGGGGACGGGGGGGGACGGGGGGGAGGGTTAGATTCTGTGGTGACAAAAGTTTTGGTCTGGCTTGATGTACTACTACTACTGGGCTCGGTGTTGAAGCCCTCCGGAGGATGATGGTCTTTTTGGCGATGAGACCTGGAAAAGCAGATAAGAGGCAGACTGGGTGTGGTGTGTATACAAGGACAAAAGACTTGGGACATGGGAAACGGCGTTAATGGGGTGGCATAAATGCTTTTTTTGTGTACAAATACAACGACATACAGGCATTGGAAGAGGACAGGGCCGCGCTCTCTAGCATGTTTGGGACTTGGTTCCGGTGACGGATAGATGAAAAATATCTCCATTCATTTCTTGCTGGGCATGTTATGGCATTGGGAAAATTCTCATAAGATGAAACATGTGAAGAACAAGGCCAGTGGCAGACAAAAGACTGACTCTTGATCACTGAGCTGTGAGACCACACTAGTCACTATATCACCTCAACATAACATGGGAACCAAGCGACTGCATTCTATATCCTATTTCGCTTGCATTATGTCTGAATCGCCAATGTGAACAAACTCCTTGATATGCAGTACGACAAAGCCCAAGCCAATATTTGACATCACAGAACACCATCGGCTTCCCCTGGACCTTCAGAACCAAATGACCTAGTCCTCATCGTCATCGATCCTCGCCCGTTTCGAATCCCTCTCTCCATCATTCAGCCCATAGCCGCGTTTGTTCGACGAGGAAGCACCGTCCTTTTCCACCTCATTGAGGAACTTGTCCACGTTGAAGGGATCCGCACCCGTATCCTTCTCGAACTGCACCGGTCCTTCCCTCGCCTCCGCCTCCGCCGTACCCTTGAACGTGCCACGACCCAGCGCCTCGCCGAACCTGTTTGATTTCGAAATCCTTGCCATCTCGCTCTCGCCCGCCGCCTCGTCGTCAAAGTCCTCCGCGTTGGCACGGGGCCTGTAGATGCTGCTGATAGCGTCCTGGGCGGCAAACAAAGGCTTGTCGTACGGGTTGTCCTCGTTGAAGCCGCTGTCGAAACCGCTAGACTGGTTGAACAAGCGCGAGTCGTACATGCCCTCCTTGGACTGCGTGGGCTTGGCGAGACCGAGGGCGATTTTCTCCGAGATATCTCTGTCCATCTCGCGGGCCATGACCTGCGCTCTCCTCTCCGCGCCCATGCGCGACTGTCTGAGCTTGCGTTCCTCCTCGCGAAGCTTCTCCTTGCGCGCTTCCCTTCTCTCCCGCTCTGAGTCGTCGTCGCTCCCGGAGCGAGATTCGGAGCCGCTGTAGGAACGGGATCGTGATCTCCTGCTCCGCCCACCGGCCGCGCGCTCCGCCCTGGCTTGCTGCGCAAGTTGGCGAAGATGTTCCTCCTTCTGTGCCTTCTCCTTCTCTGCTAGCCTCTGCTGCATCATGGCTCTCTGTCGGACTTCCTCTCTAGCGTGTCTATCGGCCATGAAGAGGGCTTCGGAGAACTGGGCGAACTTATCATTGATTTGCACGTCTTGCAGACCGCGGCCGTCGGCGGCCAATCTCTTGTCGAGCGGGACAGTGAAACCCTTGGGGTTCTTCCAGTTGGAAATAGGAGGTGCTGTCGCTTGTTAGTAGACCGCTCCCCTTCTGGTGCTGAAACAAAACTACTTACGGATTCTCCATGCTTCTTGGTCCTCGGCCGTCAACTTCCTCGGAGGCGAGTGCATAACTGGAGGAGGAGGAGTCGGGGGTCCTCTGGGAATCTTCTTGTGCTTGAACTTGGGTGGCTCCATGGGATCTGCCAACTGTTAGTCTACCGCCAAAAGCTAATCATCAAGTCCGGGATGACATACCTCTCTGTCGCTCCACAATCTTCATAATACGGTCTTGCTTCTTGGAGTTGTCTCCCATCTGCGCCGATGGTGTGTAGCGCACAAACGTCGGCTCTCGCTTCGTGTTGATGTTGATATTCTTGGGCTTCTGGGACGCCACGGCGCCGCTGACCAGCGCAGCCAGTGCATTCTTGGTCTTTTCCGCCGTTGCTTCCACCTCCTCCTTGCTCGGTCGTGACAAGTCGAGATCGCCCGCTTCGGCCCTCTGTCGCAATGGGATCAGGTCCTTGAATGACGCGTGGATGACCCGGTCGCTGCTGTGACCCTGTCGTGCAATCGCTGTGTAGTCGACCTTGCCCTCTCCATCAACCTGAACAACTAACGCGTTCGACTTGCTCGAGGCGTCCTTGCCCCAGGGATACTGAGCAACGGGGATCTCTGGAAAGGCACCGCCATCGCCGAAATCCTCTGGTGCCCGCGGTCGCCAACCTTGTCGATTCCCATACGGTGGTGGTCCAGTTCTCTGAGAGAACGGAATGTTAGCATCAGCCGGGTTTTGATTGCAAGCAAGCGGATGGTGGAGGATTCGGTGACTGACCCTCAGCACAACTTGAGTTTCGTCGATCTGGCCAGCGCCGACAATTCTGGGACCGCGTTGCTGTGACTTTGATTCTTCGTATTCGCCGCTGTATTTTGGCTTCGGAAGAGCCTGAGACAGGCCTGCTGCTATCGAAGCCATGATTGTCGATTAATAAGTGGTTGTTAAGGTGATAGTTGATTGTGACGGAGTTTGGCAGTTGACGTTTACAAGTCGGGTACTTCGACATCACTGCCTGCAGCGAAAAGAAGTTCCACGCAATGGCAGGTGGCTCAAGCGCGACGCTTCAAGGTCCAGTGTGGCGCCAGAGCCACTGGAGGTACGTACCTGTAGCCGGCACTGCAGCGTTCCCTTGGGACAGTGGGCAGCCTTATCGGCCTCCTTATCAGTGACTTGTACATGATATGTAACTTACTGCTGCTTCCAGGGGTCATCATCAAAATACCAAATGCTGCCCCTTTTCCTTTGGTGTACTGCTGGTGGTATATCGTGTGGAATTGGAGTTCAGATCTGAAGTTTCCCGTAAACATACCCGGTATGTGACGACTCCTGGGCCGCAACAGCTCAGGTCTGTACGCTCAAGTCCGTATCTCTACACTCGATCTGCCGAGGATATCCAAGATGGCATTATCATTGCACGCGTGCACTTCTATTATGTTTTAAAGATACCTGACCGCCAAGTAAATCCATCAGTCATACATGTAGATCGAAAACCAAGACACAAGCGCACGTTGTCAGTATGACCCTCCCTCGCCAACTCGTAAGCCATCATTATGATATACACCCCATGCAAGCAAGACCTGTGCTGTTTTTGTGCCTTACGCCCGGCCATGACCAAATCAATCTTACTCTTTGAGAGCATAAAAATAGTAGTCGTTTATACGTAACCCTTCCGCGCGCCCTGTGTTGTCAAATATGTTAACATTCTGAGGCCAGCCTTGACACTTGGACACAAGATGAAGCTTACCTGGAAGAAGAATCTAACAATGAAGACCTGTAGAGCACCCATCGCAATGACCAGCAAAATCTGAATCAAACTGAAGTTGACAATTCGCTTCTCGGTGCTCCTGACCGTGCTGAAGTTGCGGTTTTCGCGCGTGCGGAAGTACTTTTGGTTGCGGGTGACGGTAGAAAGCTGCATCGAGATCTTGAAAAGGGACTCCTCGAGAGCCGAGGTCTGTTCAGGGGAGCTGCCCTGCTTCGAAGGGATGCTAACGCGGGCCTCGTCTTCGACCTATACTCTCACAGTCAGTATAAGTGGTACGTGGTGGAGTAAAAGGGGGGCCGGGTGTACTGACCGCAAGCTCGAAGTCGACGAACTTCTCGGCGAAGGTGCTCATCTCGTTGTTGAAGCAGAACTTGTAGTCGCCAATCTGCTTGCCGGTAAAGACAAAGTCGCCCTGGCGTTCCTTCTGCCCATCCATAATAATATTGCCATCGGGGCCGGTCACTTCATAGTCGATATCGAACGAGCCTCCTGATTGTACCTGTGCAACCAAAGTTAGCACATCGGTCTCGGCGCATGACAGTCGCGTGCAATGAGCGATCGGGTAGGCGTACGGCAAAGTAAAAGGCAATCTTCTCGTTAGGCTTCTTGGTCGTGGCGAAGAAGCAGGCCTTCTCGTTGGCGACGAGCTTGTAAGTCAGGGCCGTGGCAGCAACCTCGCTGGCCAAGCCCAACAGGGCGCAGGTTATTGTCGACAGCTTCATGATGTGCTGTGTGTTGTGGTAAGAAGGAATTGCCTGCAGTTCCTAGGGGTGTTCGATGTTGACTTTGCAGATCCCGTCTTCCCGTCGCTTCGTCTTCAGGACAACTTGGAGTTCACGGGTGCCAAGTCGCGAATGGAAGCTGAGCACTCAGCACAGGGCAACTCGACGGCCAGAAGCACTGGGCTGCTGTCCACTGGGAGCACGGGGTGGGTCTTGGCACTCCTGGGGACTGGCCGGAACTTGGGCGGGCTACAACCATCAATTGGACTTTTTGGGCGGATCATTCAATTTCCTGACCGCCTTTGCCGTTGACATCCAATGGGCCAGGTGGCCGCAGGGCAGTTGACGGCTCGAACCAGTTGTCAGCTTGTCCCAAACTTGAAGCCAGACCTTTCCCCGCCCCCTGAAAAGCTTCAGTGGGTTGTCCCTTCCAACTCCTGCATGTGCCCGCGGAGGGGAGCACTGGACCTCAAGGAGGCCCCTGCCAGTTTAGAAGCTTGAACCACGACCGGGATCGGTTTCCGAGCAGTGACATCAACATGCGACGTGCCGCTGGGACTCGAATCAGATTGGCAATGGAATGAAAAGGAAAGGGCCATCCACAGCTGCTGTTATCCTCTTTGCTGTTGTTTGTATGTTATTGCTAACAATTGGATACTTACCAAGCGTGTCTCTCCTCTCATATCGTTTGCCGTCATTCAATCGAGGCTCGTGTTTTGCACTGTTTTCTTGCTTCTCCAACTCGAGTTCCAAACTCTACGCGTATGACAACTATCCACGTCGTTCTGGATTATTTTGGGCATCAGCACCTCAACCAAGCAGATTAGGTTCTCTAGTGCTTCTCCACAGCTGAATGATAGGTTCCATAACTTCTTCATTAATGACATAAAGCTCGCCATCTTTCTATTCCAAACAAACTCGAGACTTGCCCCTCTTTGCTACACAACTTCAGAATCATCTTGGCTACCTCGTGAGAGAGGGAACAGCCAAAATGGCGATATCACAAACGCGAGCAGCGGCCATATCGTCCATCGGGATAAGGGCCCTGAGTTACTTCTTCCTGCGATGGGCAATGCTTCCGGTAAGTAGGTTCTGGGTGTCTTCGGTCGACCTCAAGCTAACGAGGACATCAAGTTTGGCCCTGCGCTCATCTTCACACTCTTCGCCATCTATCTGCCTACTTTCGTGTCTGGCTTCCGCAAGGAGCCCAAGTACAACTTGGTTGATGAAGTCGATGTGGTTGTTACTGAAACAACCATAAGGGACGACAATGCTGAGGAGGACGAGAGCCCTGGAGCACCTACTCCTAGCGGTAATGAAAAGGTGATCGCCGAACAGGTTGACATTCAAGAGACTATCTCGATCGAAAAGCGACCCCTGCACGCTTTGCGAACTCTCCTCAGCGGCGCGCCCAACCCGCGGAGCTTGGCCCTGTCCGCGCTGACCTTCCTGATCAACGCTGCGCTGGTTGGCTTCGTTGCTGATCGGTTGTTCCGCGAGCGTTTCTATGGCGCTGAGGACCTTTCCTTTGCCCGCGTTGGCTATGTCGGCGAACACGAAGCTAAGCTCTTGATCCGTGAGCCGGATCAGACTAAGCTGCCCATCAACGTACAAATTCATCTCAAGGACCCTCAGCCTCCTTTCGACAACCCTCTGTGGCAATCAGTTGGCGGCGTCAGATGGACCGGGAACGAGACCGACTACACTGCTGTTGTTACGATTCCCCTCCGCAACTCGGGACGGCGAACTTACGAATGGAAGACATCGAACAACCACACCGGAGAGTTCACCACCCCGCCCAAAGTTGGCTCTGCCTTTGAAACCGACGAGGGCCCTTTCACTTTCCTCTCGACCTCCTGCATCGTGAGCCGCTTGCCCTACAATCCGCTTGATCATCCGTTGGCCATTCCTGGTATGCGACACCTGGCCAAGGTCCTCCCTAGCCTGGGTGCTCAATTCATGCTTTTCCTTGGAGACTTCATCTACATCGACGTTCCGCGCTATTGGGCCAAGAGCACCGAGGAATACCGCAAGAAGTACCGTCAGGTCTACGCTTCTCCGGACTGGCCGGCTGTCGGTCAGAATCTCAGCTGGATCCATGTGCTCGACGACCACGAAATTCAGAATGACTGGTCCGCCAACACCACCGGCGTGTACCAGAACGCCATCGACCCTTATAACCACTACCATGCGGCTGCCAACCCTCCCCTGGCTAAGAAGGCCGGTGCCCTCAGCGCTCGCAGCGGAGCCACTTATTTCGAGTTTACCCAGGGTCCCGCCAGCTTCTTCCTGCTTGACACTCGCACCTACCGCTCGAACAACAAGATTGCCTTTACCGACGATGCCAAGACGATGCTGGGCGCTGGACAACTTGAGGACTTCATTGCATGGCTAAGGCGCCCGGAGCCGAAGGGCGTCAAGTGGAAGATTGTTGCTTCGTCCGTCCCCTTCACCAAGAACTGGGGTGTCAACACGCAGGATACCTGGGGCGGATTCTTGACTGAGAGGAAGCGGATCCTTGAGGCCATGTGGGATACTGCGAGCAGAGGTATCGGTGTGATTGTTCTGTCGGGTGACAGACACGAGTTCGCCGCGACCAAGTTCCCGCCGCCGATGAACAGCACATGGCCTGAAACCGCCACGGTGTTTGAGTTTTCTGCTAGCCCGCTGAGCCAGTTCTACTCGCCTATTGGCACGTATAGACAGAGAGATAGCGAGGATGTCGAGATCAAGTAAGTTACGCCCATTTGAATAGCATTGTTGCAGGCTTAGATAACGTTGCTAACACGAAGCTTCCAGGTACATCAATAAGGGCAACTCCAAGTTCGGTGCCATCACCATCGAGAACCTCGAGGGAGGTGACCAGAGCAGCTTAAAGTACCGCCTTTTTGTCGATGGTGAGGAGGTCTGGAACACTGTTGTTCTGTCTCCACCGGTCGTCATTGAAGATGTCAGACCTGCTATCGCAGCTGGCTCGTGGTGGGAGCGGTTGTTCGCTTGGAGAAGATAAACTGTTTGGATAGAGAGGATATGTGAGGTGAAGGAAATCAAGGGGGAGGAACGACTTAAATGGTAGGGACGGGTCGTTTTTTTTTTTTTAATGTACTGATATGATTGAGTACATTGGGATTTGACATGATGTTTATGAGGCCGGCAAGGAAAAGGAATGGCTAGGAGAATAGGGGACATGTGTACTGGAGCGCCATAGATACCTGATATTTTTATCGGAAAGATCATGGGATATAGGTAGATAGTACAACTACAGTAAAATCGAATCCAAGCTAATAACATTCTCTATCTGACGTTGTTGATAGGAATATCAGATGCCTCGATCATGAGGATCTCGGCTAACGGCTTCGACGTCCCTGACTTATACCTCCTGAGTCGGCTTAGCGCTCCGGCGGAGCCAACCAAATGCCAGCCGAGGCAAAGCGCAGCGGATTCTCTCGGTCTGATCTGACGGAAACGTCTCCATCTCGGAGCAAGGGGCCCCATCGCGAAAGAAAGATACAAAGTTACTTCGTTTCTTGGTATAAATGGATGGTGGTGTGATCATGAAATGCGACATATAGTACTCATCGGCAGATTATACTTGTGCCTTTTCTTCTTTCCACAATTATCATGGGGTGGCATTCTGTTGTTTTTGCATCTTTTACTTTTGCATGTTTTTCCATTGTGCCTGCTTGAGACGTACATACCTCTACATACGCAGAATCACCACGTCCTCGCTATCCTCTCCGTCATTGTCCAGGACGTTAAACCCTCCAAACTCACTTTGAAAGTACAGATATCAATATGAGACCGCAAGTGGTAGGAGCAATCCTCCGCTCTAGAGCTGTTGTCAACAGGTGTGAGCCCTTTTGTTTATAAATAGTCAATATCTGTAACTGACGATGCCGTTCGTTCCGTGTTTAGACAAGTTCTCTCGAAAACTCGCCTTTGTGCTGCTGTTACTGTTGCAAAGTCCTTATCACCTATCCAGAACTCAAGAAGAACCTTTGCATCTTCTCTCCCAAGGTTGCATGAGCCAAAGGCGGAGATAACGGCTGAGGGACTTCAGTTGAGCCCTCCGCAGGCTGTTGCGGATGGAAAGCGGACTGTTTTGTAAGTTGCCTTCCTTTTCTTCACTGGCTGAACACAAGACGGTCATATGAACTAGCCGCTGACTCCGACTCTGTAGACCGAACTTTTGGCTGCGGTAAGCCTTCCTTCCTGAACGTTCCTGGCACTCAGCGGTTAGCCCTGTGTGAATTTTCATCGGTTGACAACGACGAAAACAGTGACAACTGCCGGTGTACGAAATGCGTGAACCAAGATACTCTCCAGAGAAACTTCAACACTTTTGCCGTGAGTAGCTCAGCACACTCAGTGATCCCCTCTCTGGTCGGATCACCACGGCTAACCATTCTTCAGATCCCATCCGACATCCACCCAACAAAGGTCGAAGCAACCAAGGAGAACGTCACCGTCCAATGTGAGCACCAGACATCCCTCACCCTCCCACCCAGTCCCAGTCCCAGTCCCAGTCCCAACTAACACTTCTGCCGCCAGGGTCCGACAACCACACATCCACCTACCCCTGGCCCTTCCTCTCCTCCTACCTCACCTCCAACTCCCGCGTAGTGGGCCGTGAAAACGACGTGCAAATCTCCCTCTGGGGCTCCGAAGCCATCGGCTCCCGCCCGCCCACCGTCTCCTTCCCACGGGTGATGGCATCATCTTCCCTAAAAGGCGTCGCCGATTTGACTTCCATGATCAAAGAATTCGGTTTCTGTTTCGTCAAAGACACCCCCCACAACGACCCGGACGTGACCCGCCAGCTTCTGGAGAGAATCGCTTTTATCAGAGTGACCCACTACGGCGGCTTCTACGATTTCACGCCCGACCTGGCCATGGCCGACACGGCGTACACGAACCTGGCGCTGCCGGCGCACACGGACACGACGTATTTTACGGAGCCGGCCGGGTTGCAGGCTTTTCATTTGTTGGAGCATAAACCGGCACCCGTGGCACCCGGTAGTGGCTCCGAAGGTGAAGGTGAAGGAGAGGTGGCGGTGGGGGGGAAGTCGTTGTTGGTCGATGGATTCAACGCCGCCCGCATCTTGAAACAGGAGGACCCCAAGGCTTATGAGATCTTGAGCAGCGTGAGGCTGCCGTGGCATGCTAGTGGGAACGCAGGGATCACGATTGCGCCCGATAAGCTGTATCCTGTTCTGGAGCTGGATGAGGATACGGGGGAGTTGCATAGGGTTAGGTGGAATAATGATGATAGGGGTGTGGTGCCGTTTGGGGAGAAGTACAGCCCGTCGGAGTGGTATGAGGCGGCGAGGAAGTGGGATGGGATTTTGAGGAGGAGGAGTAGCGAGTTGTGGGTGCAGTTGGAGCCGGGGAAGCCGTTGAGTAAGTTTTTTTTTTTAGTTTTTTTTTCCCCTGAGACTTTGGATGAGGGTGATGGGTGGATGGGTGCTAACGAAGGTGATGATAGTCTTCGACAACTGGAGAGTTCTTCATGGTCGCAGTGCGTTCTCGGGTATTAGGAGGATTTGTGGAGGGTATAGTAAGTGTTTTTTCTGCCTCTTCGGCTTGGGGGTTTGAAGGCGCCCTTTTTTTTTTTCCCCCGTGTGACCCGTGTAACTGACAACTTTGTCCAACAGTCAATCGTGATGACTTCATCTCTCGGTGGAGGAACACTAACTATCCTAGAAGCGAGGTTCTTCCGAGGGTTACTGGTTGACGGAAGAGTATGTCTCTCGAAGCTTGAGAAGCTCTTCAAACCATGTCTCGGTATCTCGGTGTTTCCTGGTCATAGAAGAGATGGTTTGGTCCCCTGGAGATGTTGGAAAAACAGATATTGCGTTGGATAGTACATATACCCAATCTTTTGATGAAGAACTTCACTTTCCACCCTGACTGTTGTTGTGAAAGTGATTCTCCAGAACCAAGTGGAATACTAAAACACGGTCGAAAATTCATTGGGAAGACGGGCCATCATATGTCATAAAGGGGATGCTCAAGATAGAGCTTGGGAGGTTGTCCGGAATTCGGGACTTCCCCGGTCTCACCCCCACACAACCCCATTACCCCGCGTGGGACAGCCGCATTATCAAGAGCTCTGCGTCTTTGATTCCGGGTTGACCACAATCGTTCATGTTGCTATATATGGATGCGTTCTTGTATGTTTTCGTTTCCGTTGATGTTATTCATTGTATGGACTCTAGTAGTGTAGTTGACTTTGAACAGAGCGTCTCCAGTTTAAGTTGTCTTCTGTTCAGCCGTAGAGGTACCAAACCCACGTTGAGAATCTATCACTACCATACCCCTGATCATCACCACAAACTGTGGATAAGAAACTGACTCTGCAACCTCTGCCCTGATTCCTCTCTATGTATGTACTTGACGTCCACCGGATAGCGACCACGGGGCACCACAACTCAGCAGCTCCACCGTTGGCATCATCCTGCATCTTCACCCACGGGGCCCCTCATTTGCTCCTCCCCATCTCGTTGCTCCAACCTCCCCAGTCCCCAGCTCCCCCACTGAAACTCGTGTGAAGCCGGCGCCGATATCCTGGCACCCGGTGGATATATCGGACCATACCCGAGCTACCTATCTCGTGGTGTTTATGTATGGATACGAAGCCTTCTGTGTTTGGTTAATGTTTAACCGGTCGAGTTCGCTTCGTTCTGCCGGCTTCGCTGGTGTCGTCTTAGTGGATCTATCTCCATGCTTGCAGCTTATACGGTAAAGCTCCCATGGGGGGAGGGGGAGATCTGTTTATAATGGAGGACGACCCCCTCGGTGATGGCACGCTACTCGTGCCTTCCCTCTGTTGTTTCGTTGTTTTAGTGATTTGATTCCCTTTTTAAATTTGACCAACGTGCTTGCCTTACCTGACCGCAGACTGCCATCAAGCCGACTCTTTGAAGCACTTACAGCTACATATTACAACACAAACGCAACCATGGCGGCCGAGATGAAAGACGGAAAGTTCTCTCACGACATCACTGTCGCTCCCCAGTCGAACAGTGTCATGTCTCTCTTCTCCCTGAAGGGAAAGACTGCTATTGTCACCGGAGCCGCAGCTGGTATCGGCTACGGAGTCGCAGAGGCCTTTGCGGAAGCTGGCGCCAACGTGGCCATCTGGTACAACAGCAACAAGAAGGCACTTGATGCGGCTGCAGATATCGAGAAGAGGTACGGAGTGAAGTGTACGTATTTTTCCCCTTCCCATCAGCTACTGCTGCCATGTCGAAACCCAAGTTGTCTAACAAGACCGGGCTTGTGTACAGGCAAGGCATACCAAGTCAACGTAACCTCTCTCGAAGCCGTCGAGTCCGCAGTCACCGAGATCGTCCAGGAGTTCAACGGCCGTCTCGACATCTTCGTCGCCAACTCGGGAATCCCCTGGACGGACGGCCCCGCGCTCGACGGCCCTCCCGAGTCCTACAAGCGGGTCATGGCCACCAACGTCGACGGTACGTTCTGGTGCGCCCAGGTGGCCGGCCGTCACTGGCGGAGGCAGAAGCAGGAGGGGACCACGATGGACGGCAAGAAGCTTGAAGGGTTCACGTACGGCAGCTTCATCGCGACAGCGAGCATGAGCGGCCACATTGCCAACATCCCGCAGCTGCAGGCGGCATACAATGCTTCCAAGGCGGCTGTCATCCATCTGTGCAGGTCGCTGGCTGTGGAGTGGGTGGGCTTTGCGAGAGCGAACACCATCTCGCCGGGGTATATCAAGACCGATATCTCGGTGTTTTGCCCGCCCGAGGTTAAGAATGCGTGGAAGGACAAGATTCCTATGGGGTGAGTTGCAGTGCTTTCCTTGTCTCCTTGTCTATCCAAAATAGAGTCAAAGATCATGATGCTGACCACAGGTTCGATAAACAGTCGTGAAGGAGAGGTCAACGAGTTGAAGGGCGCATATCTGTATTTTGCATCGGATGCGTCCTCTTACACGACTGGCACGGACCTTTTGGTCGATGGCGGATATTGTGCCCCTTAAGAGGTCCAAATCCGTTATAATTGCTGTATGAATGATGACCTAAATGGATTAATTCCATGAATGTTAAAAGACTCGTTATCGGTATCGGGATGTCAGCGTTTTGTATATGTTGCATGTGTCCGTGATTATTTCCATTGAAGGGCACCCGAGAAGGAGCTGTGAATGGGTGTGAAGGAGGGAGCCTGGAGAGAGAGCCTTGAAGTCTGCCTCGGAGGAAGCGTCTTCGGTGTATCTACCGCCAGCTGTCCGGCAGCTGAGTGGGGTTCTCAATGACGACGAAGTGGCCGCGGCCCGCCAACCTGGCGGTGAGGGGCCCTCTGCTTGGGCGGTCAGACAGCTCACAGCTGTCCCTGGCGCCCTGGAGAGGGCCTTGCCGGTCTAGACTGCGCTCCGTTCGTATCATTGCTTCCACTTCTGACACTTGGAGCCTCGCAACCTCTCCTGGCAGCATTTTCACGGCGCACAACTTGAGAGAGGAAATCCCATTTGGGCGAAGGAAACACCAGAGGCAATTTGTCAGAGGCCTACCTACATACCTAGAGGTAGTCATATGACGTCCATCATGTAGACGTGCCGCATGCGAACGCACATGGCCAAACAGTTCCTTGTAAGGCGCATTTTCGCATCGAGGACGGGATCCGTTGGCGACCCGCTGCAACGGAAACATTCCATATCAGACGGGAGAGAGCCCCTGTGGACCTGTGCCTGCCTGGGCTTCCTTGCCTCGCGGTGAAAAGGCGCTGTTAGCTGGTCTGGGTGCAGGTGTTTCGGCAAGCTTGACCAGAACCCCTAAAACGTGCCCGCTATACGGGGATGGGTTGTTCGTACGGCAAATTGTTCCGTTGATACTGTACCTAAATAGCATCAGCCTCAAGGACTTTGTCGAGAGATACAAGTGGAAGACAGAAACATTTCATAGAGCTTCTTACCTTCTACCCTTTACCCCGTGTTCCCCGTTCATCTATGGTCTCCTGGAACAAGTATTATACGCAACGGTAATAACACGTCTTGTATCAGACCAAAAAGGGCGTTTACTTCCAGGTTGTCAGTGGTTGAACGACGGGAAGCAAAGGCAAGGTTGTACCCCTCATCCCACCCCAGCCGGAGCTTTGCCTGCTGCTGGCTGCTGCACCCTTCCATTCACTGGTGAACCACACGCCGCCCGCTGTTCAGTGCTGGTGCATGCTGGCTGCCCCTGCCACTCAGTCCACCGCGGACCTAAAAGTCGCCTCCTTCAACTCCTCGGCCGGCCGCCCAACTCCTTCCTCCTTCAGCCCTACATTTTGGCTCGCAACCTTACATTGCTCGCTCTTACTTCCTCGACAAGAACCGCCTTCCTCCCATCAAACTCGACCATTTGGCCGGCTTTTCCCTTTGGCGACCAAATACATCGCACAAGTCCGGCGACCAACTTTAGGGATACTACAGTAACCCTGCCCAACATCTCCCACCTCACGTCTGCTTGTGCCTTATCACATATCCCGAGACACTCGACTGCTCAGACTCTTGTTCGCCGCCATTGCTAGTCATTATTCGTGACCATCAGAAGATATGGAAAGCAACAACGGTACCGGCGCGCCCGGCGCCTTCAACAACCAGCAGGTTGACAATGCGATCCGCGCCATCCAGCATAAGAGGCCATTGCCCGAGATCGACTTCACCATTCACACCATGGAGGATGGCACCCAAGTGAGCACCATGGAGCGTGTCTGCAAAGGTAGGTTTCCCTCCCCCGCCACTTGCCTGAACTTGTCAGTTCATGACTGTCGCTGCGACACTGCGACCACTACTGGGCACCTTGCCTTTCCCCCCCTTTTCTCTGTACTGCAAGTTCTAACAGGTGCCGTCTTGGCCTCCTTTTCCAGATGTCCAGGCGCCTGCCATGTTCAAGCCCAGCGACGAGCAGTTCTTCGAGGACGAAACCCACAGCAAGCCCGACATCCAGTTTCTGAAGCAACATTTCTACCGCGAGGGCCGTTTGACCGAGGAGCAAGCACTATGGATCATCAGGGAGGGTACCAAGCTTCTGCGCGCCGAGCCCAACTTGCTGGAGATGGACGCTCCCATTACCGTTTGCGGTGACGTTCACGGCCAATACTACGATTTAATGAAGCTCTTCGAGGTCGGTGGTGACCCGGCCGAGACCCGATATCTCTTCCTGGGCGACTACGTTGATCGTGGTTACTTCAGTATCGAGTGTGTCTTGTATCTCTGGGCGCTCAAGATCCACTACCCCAAGACCCTCTGGCTGCTGCGCGGAAACCACGAGTGTCGCCATTTGACCGACTACTTCACCTTCAAGCTCGAGTGCAAGCACAAGTACTCGGAGGCCATCTACGAGGCATGCATGGAGTCGTTCTGTTGTCTGCCGCTGGCGGCAGTCATGAACAAGCAGTTCCTCTGCATTCACGGCGGTTTGAGCCCTGAGCTCCATACTCTCGACGACATCAGAAACGTTAGTCCAACAGCCACTTGATTGCATATATGGTGTGGGCATACTAAATCGGTGACTTATGCAGATTGATCGTTTCCGCGAGCCCCCTACACAAGGCCTCATGTGCGACATCCTCTGGGCCGATCCCCTAGAGGACTTCGGCCAAGAGAAGACGACTGACTTTTTCGTACACAACCACGTACGAGGTTGCTCATATTTCTTCTCCTATTCGGCTGCTTGCCACTTCTTGGAGAAGAACAACCTTCTCTCCATCATCCGCGCGCACGAGGCCCAGGATGCGGGCTACCGTATGTACCGCAAGACCAGGACAACCGGATTCCCTAGTGTCATGACCATTTTCTCCGCGCCCAACTATCTCGACGTTTACAACAACAAGGCTGCGGTGTTGAAGTACGAGAACAACGTTATGAACATCCGTCAGTTCAACTGCACGCCTCATCCCTACTGGCTCCCGAACTTTATGGACGTTTTCACCTGGTCGCTTCCCTTCGTCGGCGAGAAGATCACGGATATGCTCATCGCCATTCTCAGCACCTGCTCAGAGGAGGAACTCAGGGAGGATTCTGCGACAACCTCGCCCGGTCCAGCCTCCCCGGCCCTCACGTCTGGCGCCAATCAAGACCCCGAGTCTATCGAGTTCAAGAGACGGGCGATCAAGAACAAGATCCTTGCCATTGGTCGTCTCTCTCGTGTCTTCCAGGTCCTCAGAGAGGAGTCCGAGCGGGTCACGGAACTCAAGACCGTTTCTGGTGGTCGTCTTCCCGCCGGTACTCTCATGTTGGGTGCCGAGGGTATCAAGAACGCCATCAGCAGTTTCGAGGATGCCAGACAGGTCGATTTGCAGAACGAGAGGCTTCCGCCAAGCCACGACGAGGTTGTTAAGATGCAGGATGAGGAGCGCGCTCAGGCCTTGGAGCGGGCGACGAGAGAGGCTGACAACGATACGAAGTTGCAGAGCCTCTCGAGGAGGCTTAGCACGTAAGTTTACAACCCCCATATCCACATGAACATTTTTTTGCGTCTGGCCATCGCTTCCCCGAAGGTATCAGATGCTGACTTGGTCGGTTTAACATTAAGTGACCGCAAGCGAAAGTGATTACCACGCCAATTGATGGAAAGGATGCTAATCTTTTCCGGTTTTATGAGAGATAGTTCTTAGAGGGCGTCAGGATACGGAACTACGTCAGGGAATCGAGTGAGGGTCTCATAGGAGTTCTCTGGGAGTAACGAGAAAGAAGGGGGACACGGCGCGGCTGGGTGAAGACGTGTTATTGAACAGTGTCACATTCAGGGCTTGACATTAATTGTAGCCATCTGCTTCTTTAAATGTTAGCGGTTAATGGAAATACGAATGGGTATCAAATAGATGCTCTCCTCTCTGCTGAGAAGGATCCTGCTAGTGCGTTTAGCGAGTTTACATACCTCGTCGATTGTACGTATTGGTAAATAGTAAACATAGTCTCATGATGGATGCGTTCTTGTAATCTTCTGGTAGCCTCATTAAAACGTATATGCCAGTTTAGCTGTGAAGAAGCGCAGCTAAGTCATGTTCATCCGTGTGACTGCTTGCACAACCAAACAGTCTAGCAAGACCGATCACCTGTCATTCGCATCCATAAATCATGTCTCGTTATATTCAGAACAGGACACTCAACGGCAGCCCTCTCTCTTCCTCCCCGTAAAGCATTACCAACCATAATATGTCCCCGTAGAAACCCGGCGTAATATCCATCCACCATAATCCATCAAGATCCCATCCTCAAAAGATCGCCAAAGCATTTGGAGGACTAGTAACAACCCGATCCATTAGCAAGACACTCCGACATCTCACGCTTCCGCAGAGAGAGGAAAAAAAAATAAATAAAAAAAATTTAACTCACCTAGCAACCCCCCCTCCCACATTACACACCTCACTGCAGACAAAAAAACTCCACCTCTTTCTGTCCCTACACTCCCTCGCCAGCTCCTCAAGATCGAACAGTTCGCCAATCGGCATCCCCCACCCCGCTAACATCACCTCGTGCAAGCTCAATTCCTCTCCATGAGTGGCGGGGTCACGGGTAGCGAGAGGTGGCCAGCATTCGAGAGAGGGCTGGTCACCTGCTACGGCGGAGAAGTTGGTCCAGAGGTAGTTGAAGAGCGGGACAGAGGGTTCCAGGCCGCAAAAGGAAGGGGGGTTTACTTGTTGATGGGATAAAAGGGTAGAGGGGGATGAGGAAGTAAGGTGGGTGTGGGTTTGGATCCAACCTGGGAGGGGAGAGGTGTTAGAATAGAGTGTAGGAAAGAGAGTACAGCAGACCAGAACAGAGCAGAGCAGAGGGAGAGGAGAGGAGGGGAAGAAGGGGGAAAAGAAGGGGGAGGATAATTGATAAAAGGGGGGAATACAGGGAGGGAGGGGAGGATAAGAAAGGATAAGAAGGGGAAGAAGAGAAAGAAAGGGGTGAACTCACCAGATCGTATAAAAAGGATATCCCCAAACTTAATCTCCGTCCCTTGACTTTCCAAACAAGCTTGTATATCCTCAAGAGGAATGGGCGTAGTAGCAAAGTGGTCAAAGTTGACCAGTCTCGGATCTGGATTCGGCTTCTTGATCTGCTCCAGACGCCAGGAGTGGTGGTCGACGAGGACGCCACGGCCTACCATGCCTTTTTGGGCCCATGCTGTTTTTTTGTTATTGTTATTCCCACGTTACTTAGCTTCACCACCCTTCCTTCCACTTCCTCCGCCTCTTCACCACCATAGTTTCTCCCTTGTCGTCGCCATCCATCCATGGACCGGAATTTTTTAGAGTCTAGTTGAAAGACATGAGAGAAGAAAGAAACGAACACACTCACTCACTCACCTTGAACCCCATTAACATCACTCCCCTCCTCATGAATATCCTCCATCGTCACCCCGTTATAGAACTTCCTCTCCTTCTGGTAAGCATAGTGTCTCAGCCCGTCCCACTGACTGGACACCTGCGTGTTGAAGGTCCAAACGTCGTCGTTGACGCACCGCGGCGGCTTGGCGAAGAGGTCTTGGTGGAAGAGCTTGCGGTTGAAGAAGCCCGAGTCTTTTTGGGCGTTGAGAGGCCAGTTTAGGGAGATTCTAGACCAGTGGTGGTTGCTGGTGTCAGAGACAGTAGGAAAGGGTTGATGAATATCGTACATGAAAGGTTACATGAATCGATCATTGAACTCAGCAAGGAGGAGTAAAATGTAATCGTACCTCACACCAGTCTTGATCTCGTTCTTTGCTGCTTCGGCAACTCGTTCGTCGGTGAGCCTGTTTAGAGTTCCCAACTCGTCTTTGTCTCCGTATAAACCCCAGGCGGAATACTTGGGGTCACCATCTCGAAGTGGGAGAGCGTCGAAGTTGGGAATGCCGTTCTCGTTAAGCTTGATCGCTGCTGGACTTCCAGTCATGATGGGCAACTTGAATCAGAAAAACGATGTACAGAGAAAGACCAGCAGACTGGTAACAATGGCAATCACCTTCCCCCCTCATGGGAGCCCCCTCATATGAAGTCTGAAGCGGGGAAGGGGCATCTGTAAAAGGAAGCTGGTGCTAGTGTGGTTTGGTTCATGATCCTCCACATGTATTGGTCCAAGTTCAATACGACTTACATCACATAGACCTGTCCGTGTTATGGCCGGCAATCCAAACACAGATTGGTAGAAGCAGGTAAAGGCATAGGACTGCCTCACACTAGGAAACTCATGACATACGACAGGACACGCAAACCCATCCTGCGTGAAAAGGGCTTCTAAACGGATGTTCAACTTCACAATGGCCAAAGGAATGCTCATAGATGGGATCAACCGACCGTCGGGCATAGGCCTTCATTTATTCGTTACTTGCCCCTGAATCAGCAGTTTGCGACGCAGCCGCGGCCCGGGTTACCCTCTCGGGACCACCCGAGTTCGCCAGTCTGCAGCATGGCACGGTTGTGAACGAATTCCCGGACCCAATGTTGCGATGCAAATGAACTGCCATTTCCCTAAATGCTGCAGACGAGGCGCTGAGATTTTCAACCACCTCTGACCCAATCCAGGACTCCGGGACCGAATCTCGTCGTTGTTCGTCTGTCCGACTGTTCGATCCATGACCATCGGGTTCGTTTCCGGTTTCCCTCGTACCGTAATGCCAAATCGCCAGTCCTTGAATATATCATGCCGCATTCAGAATTTAAGCAACGAGCTCAATGACACCACCGGCCTCAGTGACCTTGCGCTCAGCCTCGGCGGAGACGTAGCGGGCACGGACGACGATGGGGACCTGGGGGAGACGGCCTAGAATGTGATTGTTAGACGAGCTTTCTCGGGAAGTTCTTTGCAATTGCTTGTTCTTACCCTTGCCGAGGAGCTTGGCATAGCCGTGGGAGAGGAGGTCGATGACGGGAGCAGTCTCGGTGGCGGCACCAGAGATGTACTTCTCGCGGGCCTCAGCGGGGACGAGAGTCCAGAGCTTCTCGATGTTGAGGGTAGGGGCCCACTGGTGGTTGCGGAGGAGGTGGAAGTGCCTCATACCGACCTTACCGAAGTAACCAGGATGGTCTATCCGTCATCGTCAGCGTTTGTTTTCATTATATCGTGGGGGAAAGTCTGGTCGCATGTCGGAGAAGTGAGGTTGAACCATGCGCCTGTCTCCAACATGCGCCGACCGTTGTTTTCGGGGTTACGTACACTTGTCGAGGTTGGTGCGGTGGTGGTGCTTTTCGTCGGGTTAGTATCGCGTATTCGAGATCGAGTCGTTGGAGTTTCTATCGGCATACCTGACCACCGGCCATACCACGACCACTGTTCCCGTTGTTAGCATCATGATTTCCCCCCTTCAAATATGCAAAAGCGGCGATACGTACCCTGGATGCTTTCTGTGCTTGCCGACACGGCTGGAATAATGTTGTCAATACATGTTCGAGTTTATCGGTCGGCCGAGTGGTTCGCGACATACCCCTTACCGGCGGAAACCTATAAAATCACCAAAGTCAGTCATCTGTCACATCGGCGACGACAAAGTTCGAGGGGGCGCTTACATGTCCGCGGTGCTTTCTTGTCTTGGAAAACCGAGTAGGCTACATAGTGACTGAATCAGCGTTTCGTCCTGCGATAGTCGTGCAGCAATTGCCATACCATGTTGTCTGCTGGTGGTGCCGATGAAGCTCGTTCTGTCGACGTCGGTTGATGCTTCCAAGAGACTCGCTTCACGGGTCTCGTACAAGTCAAATTTAGGGCTGTGTATTTTTTTTGGTGGGCACGAGTGGTGGTCCAAGCTCCGGGCTTAAGCCGCACCACGCACGCAAGCCACACTGTCTCTCTGCAATTGCAGTGCGCCAAGGCAAGCCTGCCAGTTCCACCAGCCACATTTTCCTGCTCAACCTGACAGGGTTAGGGTCATTGGCCAAGCCTTGTCGCTCAGCTCGTCTCCTCGAGCCCCTCTTGCGCTCAACTTCATCCTATCATCCCGTTTGGTCTCTGCTCGAAACTGTCGATCCTGCCAGAAGTCGCTTTTTGTTTAAGTCACAAAACTTTTTAAGTCTGCAAGATCAGGTTCCATGCCCTCGTTCTGTCTGGGTTCTACAATTTCTCTGTGGTCAAAATGATTTAAGAGGCCAAGCCGCAGTCTCTCTGTCTTTCCAGAGCCTGTGTTCAGACGGAGGAGCCCTCACTCATCCTCATCCACCGAGTTACGAACATGCTCGCTCCCGACAACCATACATACGGCTTCTGTTCCCCGCTTCACCACCACTTTTCACCGCGATAACGTATCCGAACTTCCTGCTCCGAGATATGAATTACTCCAAGGCATTATCATCAAAGGACTTTTTGTACCAACTCGACCACGTCATAGAAGGACTCGCTAGTAGTGGTGTCGACCTTCTCCAGGCCCAGACCAAGCAACAAAGACCGCTGCTCATTGGGATTGCGCAAAGTTAAGAGACTGGCAATCTGGCTGGCATAAAGCTGGCCCATAGTCTCCCTCTCCTCATTCCCACCTCCAAGAAGTGTCGTTGCTGTCAAATGTTCTGATGGTAACAGGCTACCGGCGCCGGGAAGAGCCATGTCAACCGAAGCTGACGAAGGTGCGGCTAGTGGTACTTGGACCTAAAGGCAGCATGTCAGTATCGTGAGTGAGATGACGTCCGGCGCTCTTGAACCCACCCATTGAGCAAGTCGCCCGCTTTGAGAGATGGTGACCATGATCTTGTCTGAGAAGTTCATTGATGAAACCTCAGTTTCCACTCCGTTGACAAGCCCAGTTGCCTGCCTGGAAGGTGCCGGGAATGGCTCTTCCCTAACTGCGTTCTCAGACATGGTGGTCTCTGAATGTGTTGTAGTTTCGATAAGTTGAAGGACTCGGAAGGCTGTGTATGTCTCAAGGACAAGATTGTATGTGAATAACTTCGGCTTGGGTACTTCTGGTAGGCTGCTCTCAGTATGTCACTATACAAAGTCTAGACTTGGGATCCATCATGATGTTTGTTGATGATGGAGCCTGGACTGCAGAGGTTCGAGATGGACCCGTGAAAGATAGAACACTGTACGTGCACTGTAACCGGGTTCCTGGACCCGCAACAGCTCCAAAAACGTGGGGTACCACTTTTAGCGCAGGAATTCTGCCGGGCGGACAAGATTTAATCTTCAAATCTTCAGGGTACCTAGTGACATTGGCATCTTGCTGCATTCTGCCGTCGCGACACAGGTCCCCATTTCTGCCATCACCGCTCCCCCCGAGCACACCCAACAACAAGATGGTCGCCCAAGGCGGGAAATACGTGCCGCGTCAGCGCAAGCGCAAGCAGCTTGATCGCCAGCGGTCGAGGAGCAAGGGAACACAAGACCCCGAAGACACCAACGCCCTCGAGATCGCTCCCGGGCAGGACACCACCACAGATGCCGAAAAGAAGAAGGCCCAGCTACGGGAGGAATTGAGGCCCGAGGGTGTCCAAGTCAGCAGCAAGAAGGCGAAGAGACTCGAAAAGTACATCGATGCGAAGCTCAAGAAGGACGAGAACCGCGAACTCCTGGCCAAGCTTGCCGCTAACAAGATCGACACCACCCTATTCTCGAGCACAAAGTCACTAGGCCAGACAAAATTGACCAAAAAGGAGGAGCTCAGCCGGCTTGTCAGGGAAGCAAAGGCTGGACTTATAACAGAGAAGGAGGCGGCCAAGAAACTTTACGAAAAGCGAGAGGTGAAGGAAGGTGCACCAGTACCGCAGCCCAAGCCTGCTGCGGTCGATGAGGATTCAGAGGGCTCGGAAGATGAGCAGGACTCAACAGCCGAGAAGACAAAGACTACGTTAGCGGCGACAATCGAGCCTACACCAACACAAGCGACGACAACGACAACGAGTGTGCCAGTACCAGTCGGTGCTGGTCTCAAGCGCCCTCTGGAGGTCGACGAGTCGGGACGCCCAATACTTGCCAAGAGACAAAAGAGAGGAGGTGTAAAAACAAAGCACAACTTTACATCATCACAAGCTCCAGCGGTCATCCCTGTGCCAGAAGTGGTAGAATGGGACGGTTTCAGTTCGGAGGGCGAAGAGGGCTCAGACGATGAAGAGTCCGAGGGTAGTGGCTCAGGCAGCGTGGAAGAAGGCAGTGAAGAGGAGGAGGATGATGATGAGGAATCTGGGGAAGAGGATGGATCTGAAGAGGAGGAAGAGGGTTCCGAGGAGGATTCAGACGACGATGGTTCCGCGGAAGAATCCGACGAGGACATGGAGGATGCGGAAGAGGACAAAAAAGCAAAGTCTTCGGCTTTCAAGGCTTGGGCGCATCAGGCGAGGAACGAAGCTTTGGGTTACAAGCCTGCCGAATCAAGCATTCTCGAGATACCGAAACCTGCCAACTTTACGCCTCGGCCGGTCGAACAAGAGCCTCTGCCTATCGAGCTGCAACCAACAAAGAATGATTCCCGCAAGGCTTTCGCCGTGGTAGTAACCAGGACGCCCGAGATCCAGGAAACCCGATTCAGGTTACCAGTCGTTGCAGAGGAACAGAAGATTATGGAGGCCATTCACGACAACGACATTGTCATTATTTGCGGTGCCACCGGTTCCGGTAAGACTACACAGGTTCCCCAGTTCCTCTTCGAGTCTGGATACGGTGTTCCCGATGGACCTACTCCTGGCATGATTGGTGTTACCCAGCCGAGACGTGTCGCCGCTGTCAGTATGTCGAAGCGTGTTGGTGAAGAGATGGGCGATTACTCGCATGTGGTTTCCTACCAAATCAGATTCGAAGGCACCGTTGACTCCAAGACGGCCATCAAGTTCATGACAGATGGTGTCTTGCTTCGTGAGGCGGCCATCGATATTGCTCTTCGCAAGTACTCTGCCATTATCATCGATGAAGCTCACGAGAGAAGCGTCAATACCGATATCCTGATTGCGATGCTTAGCAGAGTGGTTAAGCTCAGGCGAGAGCTGGCGGAGGAAGACCCCACGATCAAGCCTCTCAAGCTCGTTATCATGTCTGCTACCCTCAGAGTCGAGGAATTCACCCAAAACTCTAACCTGTTCCACACCACTCCCCGCATCATCGAGGTAGAAGGTCGTGAGCACTCTGTTACCATGCATTTTGCCAAGAAGACAAACCACGACTACGTTGATGAGGCATTCCGCAAGATTTGCAGGGGTCATAGGAAACTGCCCCCTGGTGGCATGCTTGTGTTCATGACTGGTCAGGGTGAGATTGCCCAGCTCAGCAAACGGTTGAAGGCGCGTTTTGGTGGCGGCATGAATACCGCCAGCACCACCAAGGTGCGGATCTCTGCGAACGAGGCACCCATGGAAGTCGAAGACATTGACTTCGGCGAGGTCGACGACGACCGCAACATCAACGACAGAGACGACGACGATATCTCTATTGCGTCGGACGAGGAGGAAGACAAGGAGTTCGAGATTGAGGACGAAGAATCTGGCACAGGGCCGTTGAAGATGCATATCCTACCTCTTTTCTCTCTGCTCCCCACGAAAGAGCAGATGAAGGTGTTCGAGCCGCCCCCAGAGGGCCACCGTCTGGTTATCCTGGCTACCAACGTCGCCGAAACATCCTTGACGATTCCCGGCATCAAGTACGTGTTTGACACCGGCAGGTCGAAGGAGAGAAAGTACGACCCCGTCAGTGGCGTCCAGAGTTTCGAGATTGGCTGGATCAGCAAGGCCAGCGCAAAGCAGCGTGCCGGTCGTGCCGGTCGTACCGGTCCGGGTCACTGCTGGAGACTCTACTCTTCGGCCGTCTACGAACGAGACTTCCCCGAGTTCTCGGAGCCCGAGCTGCTCCGCATGCCCATCGAGGGTGTCGTGCTGCAGCTCAAGTCCATGAACCTCCAGCACGTCGTCAACTTCCCCTTCCCCACGCCTCCACCGCGTGAGAGCTTGATCAAGGCCGAGAAGCTCTTGACCTACCTCAACGCCATCTCCCAAACCGGCCAGGTCACCCCCATCGGATCTACCATGTCCATCTTCCCCCTCTCTCCCCGCTTCGCCCGCATCCTTCTCATCGGTCACCTCCACGACTGCCTGCCGTACACCGTCGCGCTCGTGGCCGGTCTCTCAGCCGGCGAGATCTACATCCCCGAGAACCAAGCCATCCCCGCCGCCTCCGTCCAAGAATCCAAGAAAAACGACGACGGCTCCGACGACGACGAGGACAACCGAGGAGCAGTCACCTTCCGCACCACCGAAGACGTCCTCGCCGACGACCGCCGCGCCAAGATCCGCGCCGCCTTCAACGCCGCCCACAAGAACTTCTGCTACCTCGACGACAAGTCCGACGCCATCAAGCTGCTCCAAGTCGTCGGCGAATTCGCGCACGACCCGACCGAGTCCTGGTGCGACTCCCACTTCGTTCGCTTCAAGGTCCTCAAAGAAATCAAGCAACTCCAAAAACAGCTCACCGACCTCCTGCGGACCAACATCCCCGCCTTCGCCAACCTTTCCGTGCCCGACACGCTCGATCCCCCCTCGCAAAAACAGGTGCAAGCCCTAAAACAAATGGTTGCCGCGGGCTTCATCGACCAAGTCGCCATCCGCGCCGACAAAGCGCCCACGCCTCCCGAAATGTACCGCAAACCTAAGCGCGCCATTGACGTTCCCTACCTCCCTCTCATCCCGTTGGAGGGAGAAGACGGGCACAAGTTAGAACTAGAAGAAAAACTAGTCTACATCCACCCCTCCTCCCCCTTAGCCCATTTGAGTGTGGACGAGTGTCCGGACTACATCGTGTACGCCTACCTGCAAAAGGCAGGCAACACGGGCGCGGACGGGCAGAAGCGGGCCAAGACGAGGATGCATGCGCTGACGGACTTGACGGCGGGTCAGCTGGCGAGTCTGGCCAAGGGGACCCCGTTGATTACGTATGGGAAGCCGATTAAGGAGGTTAAGGGGAACGGGAGCGAGAAGAGTGGCGATGGGAAGGAGAGTAGGGAGGTTTGGGTGGTGCCGTATTTGAGAGCGGAGGGCACGGGGGGGATGGGGTGGCCGTTGCCGGCTAGGAAGGTCAGGCAGAGGAAGGTGGTGGGGCAGGGGTGGGTTGTTGAGTAGAAAATAGGTATGATTATCACGGAGTTGTATATAGGTAGATAGGATTTCAGAAGTAAGGTCTGGGTTTGAGTAATCAGAAAGGGCGTTTTGATTGTTTGGTTTATTGCATGATGCTTCTCCTTTTTGTTCAATGATATGTGTGCTTCTTTTCTGCCCGCGGATATGGACGTTGGAAGTATTGATTCTCCTTAACTTATGGTGAAATTAACTCCGTTTATTGTTATTTACTTCGGAGAACGAGAGCGAAAGTGCTTCCTCGTCCCGTCGCTTCTGGGAACGCCCGCTATGTGTAAATATCATGGACACCACGTAGTGTATCTCGTCCACCATTCTAGGGTATCTAACCGCCGTGCCTAAAAGCCAAATGCCATCCAACCATGTGTAATCAACGCCGCTTTATCTGAATGCATCTTTTTCCGATCAAGCAGAACCAAGCTTATTTTTCCCTTTCTCCCCCTTCTTCCCTTTCTTTCCCTCCTTTTTACTTCCCTGCCCGTGCTCCTTCTAAGCCGCACCGGGGGTAGTAACAACATTCTTACTCTTCCTCCTCTTCGGCTTCGGCGGTCCTCCACCCGGCGTTTTCGGGCTCTTGGTCTCCTTACCCGTCACGGCATTCGCAGCCGCCGCCGCCGCGGCCGCGCCCTTAGCAAGCGGATTACTTCCAGCCGCTCCCAAGCCCTTCGTATTCAAAGCCGGCAACGCGGCCGCCGCCTCCTTAAGGGTCAACGCGCTCTTGGTTTGCGCCTTGCGGCCGGTCGAGGTCAGGTGGAAGTCGCCGGGCTTGCCGGTGATGGGGTTCTCGTCCATGTATTCGGTGCCGTAGCGTTCGTGCGTGAGGAGGGCTTCTTCCATGAGGAGGGAGTCGAGGAGGGGGTCGTTTGTGCTGGTTCCGCCGCCGGTCTTGGCGCCGGGTTTGTTGGTGGTCGCGCTGGGAAGACCCTCGGGGAGAGGAGTGGCGGTTCGGGAGGCGGTGTAGTTGGTTGTGCCGCTGGCTGCACCGGCGCTGGCGGATGGTTGGGTGGGAGTGATGTAGCGGCGGCCGACGGCTGGAGCCCAGTCTGATACTTCGTCTACTAGGGGGAGGGTCTTGGTGATGGCGGTGGCGATTGCTCCCTGGATGGCAAAGACGTGAGTTAGCATTACGGATTGCAAGAGAGCTCTTGTTACACGGAGGACATACGATTCGGGAGCTAAGAACATCTGCCAGTGTGGGTGCCATGTAAATGTTCTCGCCCACCACAAAGTAGACCGAATGAACGATGATCTCATCGGGCGGGCCGTCCTCAGGCCTCGCCGGGTTTGCCGGTGGGCGCTTCCTCCTCGTCTGCTTGTTGATAACCCACACACCTGTACCCATTCCCGGACCTGTCTCAGCGGGTTCCTGAGCAACGATGAACTCTAGCCCAGACATTTCCCTTAGTCGACTCTCGAATAGCTCCCTGGTGGCAAGGTATTGGGACATGGCCTGGTTGTTGAGACCCTGCTGGAAGACGACCTCATTGTTGGAGGTCTTATCATAGAAGGGAGACTGGGCGAAGTAGTATAGGATGCTGTTGGAGTGGATGCCTGCTTCGAACTGAGGAGGGGTGTGCCATTGGATCTCGTCGAGAGGAGGGCCGGCGTTGGCCGCTGGGTCGAACGCCATTGTTGCTGCCTTATATGCAATACGTCTAGTTGGTAGTTTTGCGAGGTGCCGGTTGTCCTTGATGCTGTATACACTGCCGAAAGGGTTCGCGAAAAGGTGTAGACAAGTTCGCGGCCTAGACTGTGGCGACTCGAGAGGTGTCTAGACAAGAGTTCGAGGGAAGGGATCCAAGAGCAAGGGACCGCTATTTATGACAGATTGTGTGGTTGGGAGTGCAAGGGCGATGTAAATATAACGGAAATGACTGCAGTTGAAGTCAAAGAAGCTGTGGTAGGTGGAAAGTGGAAGTCGTGGCTATGATGCTCGAGTATTCGGATGAAGATTGAAGCATGGCGTCGACGCGTTTGGGTGGGGTGGAAGATCCGGCAGGCACCGCACCCCCCGCGCTAGCTGCAGCCTTTCAGCGGACCTTGTCCCCTGGAAATGGAAGTGACCTGGACAGTGGAGGGCCCCACATCCCGCAGTGACACTGGAGTGGGCCCGTTCTGCCTACCTCAACGCAATTCAACGACAAGAATCGCAGAAATTCATCCATTCAACACTTTCACCCACGTCACTTTGTACAAGCAAACCCAAACAGATTATTAAGGAAATTTTACGCTCACATTCGATACGCGACCACAAAGTCCTGGAAGAAACCCATCCGCGATATCATCCCCCATGGATCTTCTTTCGACCGTCCGCAAGTCGGGTTCCCGAGGCGGCGTCAACTTCAGCTGGGACGATGTCGCCAACTCAGCACACCGCGAGAACTATCTCGGCCACAGTCTGAAAGCCCCAGTTGGTCGCTGGGCCAAAGGGCGGGATCTCAACTGGTACGCCAAGGCAGAACCATCAGCTGCGAACGCTGGAGAAACCGAGGAGGAGAAGGAGGCGCGCGAGCGCCGCGAAGAAATCCGCAGGATAAAGGAAGCAGAAGAGGATGCCATCAACCGCGCATTGGGCTTGCCTATCACGCCACGAAACACCAGTGGCGCGAATGCTATCGAGGTCCAAGGCTCCAAAATCCCAGAACGAACAGAGGAGGGTTCCGCTGAACAACCGATAACAACACCAGCCCCGAAGGAAGCGCAAGCAGGGGAATCGAGGAGAGCAAGGCACCGCGACTCAGAGAGACATCACAAGCGGAGACACAGGAGCAGAAGTCGTGAACGTGGTCATGGCCGCGACAGGGAGCGTGATCAGGAGCGCCATCGTGAACGGGATAGACATGACAGCCGCAGTCGTGACCGGAGACGTGATGGGCCGGCAGACCGAGGAGGGAGAGAATACCGTCCTAGTCGCAGAAGCCGGAGCCCTGAGCGTCGTTCACACCGTGATGATAGGACGAGAGATGAAGATCGGAATCGGAGCAGAGACCGGGGAAGACATCACCACCACAGAAGGCGCAGTCATAGTCCTGGTCGGAGCAGGAGCAGGGATAGGAAAGCAAGGCATGACCGACGATGAGGATTATTACGCAGAATTCAGTTTGGCATCGGCGGGAGTAAAACACTCTTTCGTACAGTATAATTATCAGTCTTATTAGCGGCACGCTACATGTAATGGATTATTAGTAAGCTTAGCACCCTCGTGATTCTAAACCGTTCCTGTGTCGTTCTGTCACCGTCTTTTTATTTGGCTGCTGGAAGCTCTTTGGCCCATCATTGTTGTCCGGGCAGTGGCAAACCCTCTTGCCTGCCTGGTGCCTGGAAGGCATGGCGGGGATTTGTTTTAGTGGAGTTTTAGGGGTACCCTGCGCTGAAAGGGGACCCTGCTAGCCTGCCCCTGTGGAAGGCCGGTCTGGACATAATGAACAATGACGGGATGAGGCGTTCACGACCATCCAATAGACCTTTCATTCTCATACATCTGCATTCAGCTACCTTTCACCCTTACAACCGACTTCACGACGGGACTGTTTCTGGCTGGGATTGGTGTATTCAGGTCACACACTGAATCTTCGCTTGTTAGGCCGCGACATTTCCATCCGGATGCCTTGGACTTCTTCCTTCCGGACACTTCAATTCGTTCAACAATAATTCAACAACAATCCGCCACTTTCACTTTCCTTACCGCATACTCTACTCACAGCACATCGTCCTTACTACATTGCAACTTAATACATACCACCACTTTTACTTCACATACTCCCGGAAAGACGATATATCATAGACTCATCGATCGTATAACGTAGTTCCTCGGCTCATTGGTGTAAACCAGGGCGTCCCACTCATCCATAGTCTCAGACCATGGACTATTCACAGCTTCGCGCCGCTGCTTTGCAGAACGGCGAGGATGAAGAAGCAGTCACCGTCGATACCAGGGCCCTGATCGACAAGGTCCTGGCCAGATACTCTGGAGAATGGACAACGCTCAGAGAACTCATTCAGAACGCCGCCGATGCCCAGGCAACCACGGTCAAGATCAAATGGGAGACCATACCCTCCGTCACTGTTCCGGCCCCGAACACCACGGACCCCTCCGAGCTTCTCAAGCACACCCTCACCCATCACACCCTCCGTCGCCTATTAGTGCAGAATGATGGCCAGCCGTTTGCCAACACAGATTGGGCACGCTTGAAGAGGATAGCCGAGGGCAACCCGGATGAGACCAAGATTGGTGCTTTTGGTGTTGGCTTTTACAGCGTCTTTGCTGATTGCGAGGAGCCATTCATCAGCTCAGGGAAGGAAGCCATGGCGTTCTACTGGAAGGGAAACGCCCTGTTCACCAGAAAGCTACAACTTCCGGTTGAACAGCATAGTCGCGAGACCGCCTTTGTTCTCGATTACCGGAACACAACAACGCCTCTGCCTAACTTGCTGTCCGTCAGTCAGTTCCTTGGAACCAGTTTGACCTTCGTTTCCCTGCAGAAGATCGAGTTCTGGATCGACGATTGGAGAGTTCTCGCCCTACAGAAGAAGTCATCACCTAGCGCTCAGATTTCTATTCCACGAGACCTCGAAACTAAGACCAAGAATGGCCTCATGAAGCTCACAGCAGCTGAACAAACCAGCACTCAGATAGATGCCAGCTTTATGAGTGTGCTAGGCTGGAAGCCTACGCCCGCGTCATCGTCAAACAAGTCGACCGAATCTGCATACACACCAGAGCCTTCTGGTCTGAAGGGATTCTTTTCCAGGTTTACTTCGTCCGCCGCTCAGACGGCACAGCGCACAAAGGCGGCAAAGGAAGAGAAGGAAATTCAGGAAGCAATAGCCGAGGATCTCACTGCTGTTTCCACCTCGACCATTTTCCTCCGCATCACTGCGGCCCAAATAGCCACCAGCGTTTCTCCTTCATTTGCAGCTGAACTGGAGCGTGCAACAAAGAAGCCTCCACCGAAAACCACTCGGATTGCCCTTCTAACTTCCTCGTACGATGAGACTGTTGCCTCAGAGGAGTCTGTTGCTTCTAACAAGGCTGCCAAGGCCATCGATGTCTTCTCCTCCGTGTTGCCTAGCAAGAAGCCTGGTGGACGCGTCTTCATCGGCTTCCCCACCACCCAGACCACTGGTGCCGGCATGCACATTTCTGCGCCCTCAGTCATCCCGACCGTGGAGCGCGAAGCCATCGACTTGAATGCTCGCTGGGTACGAACATGGAACATCGAAATGCTTCGTGTGGCAGGCATTATTGCACGACTCGCCTTTGTCAATGACATGTCGGACCTAAACGAGAAGCTGAAGAGGATATCCAGTTCCAGCAACAGCAAAAAGGGGTCAGGATATGCTCCTGAGCATGTCCAGAAATTCGTGGCAGAGGCTCTCCATATCCTCAAGACTTACTCGTTCGAAGACTCTACTCCAAGCGCCCAGGTAGCGAAGATCATCGAGGAAGCCTTCTGGACCTCTTACCGGAAGGCCTCTATCGAGGTTTATTCTTCTCAGGGTGTCTTGCAGACGAATCAGGTCCGACTGTTTTCTGAGGATTACGCAAAGTTCCTGAGCGGAATCCCCATCATACTGAAGGACATGCAAGCCGCCCCGTTCATTCAGAAACTTATAGATTATGGGTTGCTCGAACAAATCACTGTCGAAGATGTTGTCAAGGAACTGGGCTCGAAGGCCATGGACAAGCAGCAACTCCACCATTTCGTGGTGTGGTTAGCCAAGACTGCCGCTTCGGGTGAACTCAAATCCCACCATATCCAGCATGTTCTCGATGTTGCTGTGGCTACAATTTCTGACGACGGGAATGGCGGTGAAATCATTGCCTTGGGCTCCATCAAGAACTATCTCAACAACAGGATACCAGCGACACTACCTATTCCCCCAACCACTATACCTGTCGCCTTTACAGCCGATATTCCTGAAGTCCAGCTACAGTCGATTGGCTGGGAGCCTCTAGGTATCGTCCCTTGGCTCAGGTTCTTGATCGCATATGCATCTAGCAAGAATGAGGAGCAAGATCTTACAAAGTCAAGCAAGTTCTCTGTACAAGTCCTTTCGGTTCTCTCAAAGAACTGGGATAACTTGAGTCCTAGCGATAAGTCATCCGTGGTGTCAGCCTTGGAACACCTGACCGTCATACCCACAAAGCTGGGCATGCGCAAGCCCAAGGAGTCTTTCTTTTCTAGTGTCAAGCTTTTCCACGATCTTCCGACCATCGAGGGCTGTGACAGACTCAAAGAGAAGTTCTTGGTGGCTTTGGGAGTTCGTAAGACTCTTGACTTGGAAACCATCTTCACCAGGCTTTTGAATCCCGCACCTGCCGCTGAGGGAGAAGCCGGGGCCAAGAAATGGAGTCATGTCGAGCTTATCAAGTACCTTGCTTCGGTGAAGAACGATATCCCGGCTGAGGATATGAAGAGGCTAAAGCAGTCCAAACTCTGTCCTGCCGAAGACGGTACCTCGTCCGGGGGACCAGAGTCTAGAAAGGGTACTGAGAAACTCTATAAACTGTCTGAGCTCTACGAGCCCAAGGATTCTCTGCGGCTTTTGCAACTTCCGACTCTCCATTGGCCAGGCATCTGGAAGGCGAACAGCCCTGAGGGCGCCTTTCTTTTCTCGCTCGGGTTGCGCCCTTATCCGGCGGTCCCTGAGCTGATCGACATGATGACTTCGCCTAATGCGGACACTCGGAAGAATTCCATGGCGTACTTCATCAATAACTATCAGCTCAATCAGTACGGAACTTACAACCTGTCTAGGATCGACAACGCCATCTTGCCGCTCCAAGGGAACGAGAAGAAGCTTGTCCGTCCTTCCCATTGCTTCACGAATCCAGATGCAGCAATTCTTGGATACGACATCCTGCGTAGAGACCTTCATGATCATGCCAGCAAGTTCGGCGTCGCGCGGGATCCAAGTATCTTGGAGTGCGTTGGCAGACTGATCGCTAGTCCACCCAAGGATCACCAGGAAGCCGTCAGGGTATTCAGCTATTTTACAACCCGTATTGCGGAACTGGGATTATCTCACGTTACCAAACTTCGGAGTTCCGCCATCATTCCCGTAACACGACGGAAAGTGTCCAGCGAGAAGGGTGAAACCAAGGTGGTCTACATCATTCCTCCGAACTGCTACCTTGGAACATCCTCTACCTACGGCGAGATCTTCGACTTCGTTGACTTTGGTCCCAACGCTAACGTCTTTCTTTTCAAATGCGGTGCGAAGGAAGAACCAACCAAGCCGGAGATTGCCCTTATGGCATGTAGCGAACCGGCGAGACTATTGAGCACCTTACAGAGCTCAGATAAATATCTTAATCTCCTCCGGTCTCTGGCGGATGAGTTGGACACTCTCAAGAAAGACAAGGAGTTGTTCAAGAAGATGACCACATCTGCATGGCTTCTCGGTTCTCGCGACATCTCAAGCACCAAGGATGAGTCTGACTCGGGCGATTATGATGCGCCTATCAAACAGTATCAGCTCGCCTCACCTCAGCAGATTACAATCTTGGACGACATTATCTGCTATCGTCTTTTCAAGGACTCCTTGCTTTTTGCACCTGAGGACGATTCTCTCGAGGCCTTTTACGCCGCACTGGGGTCCGAGGCGATCAGCAGCAAAGTCTCTATGGAGCACAGAATCGGCCCTGCCGCTGAGAAGCAGGATATTGCGGCCACCATGCGCAAGCTTGTCATTGAGCGCTCCAAGATCTTCTTGTTTGAGTACTCCAAGTACAAGAAGTCTTCCATCAAGCATGATGCCAGGTGGTTGGAGAAGAACTTGCAGGTGAAAGCTGTCACCTCCTTGGCTCTTAGGCGATCACTCAAGGGTTACAACCAGCAACATACCGAAAAGCGTTCTGCGGCCGCTGTGTATAGGGACGGCAACTGGATTCTTTACATTTCGACACACAGCCGTAGTCCAGACTTGTACCAGGTTGGCCAGGCTATCTGCACGATGCTGCTGAGCCGCCATGGTCAGCAAGCTTACTTCTTCATCGAGCCATTCCTCAAGCTGGATCTTCTGGAGCTCCGAGCGCGCGGCTACAATGTTGACCGCATTCTTAGAGCGAAGGCTGCAGAGGCCCGGATTGCTGAGGAAGAGAGACGGAAGGCGCTTGAGGCGGAAGAGCAGAGAATCCGTGAACGCGAGAAGGACTGGGCACAGCAACAGGTAGCTACCGCCGACAACACCGTTGCCAGGGCCCCTCAAACCCCTCGGCAGCCCGACCATCCTCGTATGCCGGGAGGTTTCGATGATTCTTCCGACCTTGACACAGCCCCTCAACCCATCAAGAAGTTCGGAGACTTCTTTAGCGGCATCAAGAAGTCACTGGGCCTCGAGGCTGATAACGACGCGAACAGGCCACCCACCCAGCAACCCGGTACTCGCGCACCTGAGCAATTGGGACCTGGTAGCGGCGGCAGTGGTAGCGGCAGCGGTGGTGGTGGTGGTGGTGGTGGTGGTGGTGGTGCTGATGGCGACAACAACGACGGACGAGTGACCTCGCCCGCGGTGGTGCAGCAGAACTTGCTCAGCGCCATCAAATCCACACGCGCGCACGATTCCTCCGGTGTCTTCGCTCCTCCTACTCAGACGGAGATCACCGAACAGTCCACTTACTGCGACTCAACGCCTGCTACCAACATGAACTTTGTCGCAGAAGCGCCCGGTGGCATGCGCGTCTTCCTCGCCAAGGATGTTTCCGTCAACCCGGGCCAGTTCCTCAGCTCCAACATTGCCGGCATCAGCAAGTTCGAGACGCTCCTCAAGGACGTGGCGAATGTGTACAACCTACCCGCTCACTCACTCCATATTTACTACGATGAGCAAGGTCCAACAATTGCGTTCAACAAGAGCGGCAGTATCTTCTGCAACTACCGCTTCTTCTCCCAGCTTCATTTGGCCAAGTTGACCGGGTTTGGGCCAAATGATGCTGGTGGTGGCGTGGGCAGAGCCGAGGCGACGGTTTGGTGGTGGGTCACTATTGCGCATGAGTTGGCGCATAACCTTGTTAGTCCTCATAACTCGGCGCATAGCTATTATACGTAAGTACTTCTTCGTCCTACCTACCTACCTGCCCCCCCCCCATCATTTTACCAACGGAAAACTAATGATGGTGTCAAATACAGCGAGTCCTTCATCCAAGAGTACTTTGGCAAAATGATGGCCATGACAGCCATGTGGGCGACACAAGCTCAGTCTCAAGCATTGCAAGCATTGGGATCGTCGGCTCGTAACAGCCTTCCTGCACCACCACCTCCTCCACAGCAAGGAACCGGTGTCCTGGGCAGCATAGCTGGAAATCCGTTCCATACGGCGCATTCTAGTCTCTCATCTGTGGCTGGTCGGGGACAACAGGAGCCTCCGCCGCCTTATGAGGATGGGAGGAGCTTGACTGGTGGTCAGGCTCATGGAAATCAAGGGTATCGTAGCCTTCTTGATTAAGCATCGTTTTGCTTTATTTGGTTGGGCGTGGTGTTTTAGAAGGGAGGTTTTGTTCATAGACATGATGGTGTCAGTTCGCTGACTGTGATGGAATGTTAGGTAAATACGGGGAGATGAGGGAGACTAGGTAGTCACTAGATGCGTAGATCTCATCGAGTGTTGTAGAAGTGCTGTCAGTTATACATATGTACATACCTCGAGTAGACGAGGTGGAATTGGAGTTAAGGGGAAATATATAGCGTTGCTCATTTTGAAGCACTTCCAGATACCAGTCACTCTCACCCAAGTATCAACCTCGATTCTTCAACCCTAGTTGCTAGCATCCATCGAATTCTTGCTGCTGGTGTGATAAGATGGTAGAGTGTACATATGATGGGTAGATGACGGAATAACACAGGCTTTAAGTCTCGGATGTTGAGTGCTGTCTCCGAGGGATGGATCATTCTCCTACCACATATAGTTTTCAGGACAACCTTCACCAGATGTGGTCATCGTCATAAGCAACGAAGCCACTTCCGAGAATACACTGACTGATCAGTGGTGAGCGCCTCTAGCGCCCAAGAAGAGCCCCTGCGTCGCATGGCATCGGGACTGGTTTTCTCCACCTCGGGGGGAAGATGGGGGTCACGACTCACGGCTCCGACAACGGGAAGATGGAAATGTGCCGGACGGGTGATTGATGGCCGAGACAGGCCCATATCTATCCCGAAAGAAGCCAGTGTTTCTTCCGGTGTCGAGCAGCCCATCGCAGGTATTCCCCCCCTCAGCTATGGTGCCGTCCCATCTTGGCTATACTTGAGGGACTTCTTATTCTCGATGACGGAAGGAAGGGGTTTGATTTATATATACTCTCGAAATCAGATCAAAGACATCGACCCCTGAGACTCCCTCATGAAGCTGAGCTCTACCCTCAACCCCACCTATCCCCATCATCACCAACAACAGCCATCTGCCGTCGAGCTTGGCGAGATAATCATTATGCAAGGTACGAGGTACCATGCCGGACAGATGGGTCACGTCCATCAACGTTCATCAACGTCCCGGACATCCTTCAACCCTGGTCATCATCAAGGGATCTTGTGCCCTTCTTGCCGAGCTACTGCGTACAGTTGATCGAATGGTACCTATCCTGAGGCTCTGCTGAGCTATGCTATTCCTGCCCAAGCATGCAAACCCGAATGCCGACCAAGGTACCCCAAGATACTCGTCTGGGCTAGAAGCGCCCTTCAGACCCAATGCTGCGGCCAAGGGGTGTGACAGGCGTTTCGAGCCCACACGAGTAGTCGGTTCACTTGACTGTACCAAAGCTTCTCCTTCAACCCTGATCATCAAGGAGCCTCGGACCCTTTCTGCCGCGTTTCCTACCTGCACTGCTGTGAAGAGTTGATCGGTTGGTACCTACCCTGAGGCTGTGAGCTATCCTTTTCCTGCCCAAGAAAGCAAGCCCGAATACCGAGTTCCTCATCCATCTCGAACCCGAGCATTAAGGAGGCTTACAACTAACTCGCCAAAGTGGCAAGATCCCTTTACTGTGTAACTTCCCTACCCCAAGCTATCATCATCATCATCATCAGCGAGCAGGCAGGAGAGCACGACGACCAAGTCCGAACACCGACATAGCTACGCTCCCTCCCTGGCGCCTAACGGTCTCCGAATAGCGACTGGATGGCGTGGCGTGATGTTCCTCGTGCTAGTACGTTTCAAGCTTCTTCCCAACAGCTAGCGCAGGTGAAGAGCCGCACACCGCAGCTGGTCATGGTCTCTCGGAGCGATCACGGAGTTCTAACGGTCCGTGTGGGAGAGAAAGGAAGGAACTCCACATGGGTTTTCTCATGAACTTCCTCCGGCGTTCCGAGCCTTCCAGAGTTCCAGGGGACCATGGATAGGTAGGCAAGGAAGGACAACAACCAAGCTTTTTTTGGTGGCGGGAGATCAACCGAGGCTGGCTTTGTGAGATCTTGACGGAGGTTTCGTTTGGCTGGTGTATAGCACAAGGCATCCTGTCCTTTGGAAAGCATGACGCGTTGGGTTGTGAAGATCAAGGGGAATGCTATCATCACTTGCTGTAAAAGCCAATTGAAGGCGATGATGGAAAGTCATGATGAGGCGGTTTCGGCGGGCTATCTCATTTTCCATACGTGTAGACGCCCACAACCGGTGCATCCGTTTCCTGATCTTCGGGAGAAACATGGTGTTGAGAATTCATGAGGCGAATCCAAGAGAATTCCCCAGATGTTCCGCTAACAGTTCTGCTACCATATTCAGCCAAGCTCAGATAGCGTAGTTCTGCCAAAAACTCACAAATAAACTGCCCAAGGAAAGGAACGTCAGAGCGGAGGCAAGCGGCGGCGGGAACAGAACAGGCCAGCTGACGCGGTGCCTTTACCCCGCTCCAGACCGTTTATTTCCAAACCAGGGGACCAGGGGGGCGATGCCGAACCATCACCGAACAACACGACAACGGTAATAAACCTGCCTGCAAACCATCAACAACAACACCGAATCCGAAAGAAGCCGCGGCAAAGCAACCTGAACATGGATCGATCCCTAGTTTCAGAATTCGGTACAGCGGCCGCCACGCATGCCGTGTCCGGCGCTTCCTCACGAGGCGGAAAATGGTTTCGCTATCTTTGTCCGAGGCCTTCAACGGTAATCCCCAGTCTCGGGATCTACACCTTTGTGGAGCCCCGCGTGGTTGACAGCTCTGTTGACAGAGGGCCAGAGAAGCATACGTGTTAGCAAACGGGAAGTGCGGGCCAGATGCCAGAATGGAGGCGATGCCAACGGTGTAGGTGATCAATGACTTCAACGAGACCGGTGACCGGGCGAGATTTTACTTGGTGATGACAGATTTACAATATCGCGATGAGAAGGATAGAGGGAACACAAGACACGAACGGGAGGGGAAGCTGAAGAGGGCTTCCAAGTATCTTGGCGTGAAGCCAACATATCAAGTAACACATCACTTTAGTAACCGTCGAGCTGTCTAAAAGGCTCCGGCTAAACACACACCGGGCATTCTTGTGTGGGCGTGGGGATGTTGTCTGCATCCAAATGTTGCCTGAACTACTCGTCAGGTACCGACCGTCTGACTGTGGCCAGCCCACTAGTCATCCGTTCAGACGAACGATTCCGAGATATTTCCCGCGCCATCTGAAAGTCGGTATCCCACAGCAACCCCATGACTATCCCGATGTCACCGATGTGGCATTCCCCACGGTGTGACATAGCGACAGCAACAACAGGACTCGATTGGTTGAAGCTTCATGTACACGATCGAATTGCCCCTGGGAGGAACATCCCGTACCCCGCTGTCTCTCTGTTGTGTTCGCCCTTCGCCCTTTGCCCCTCCTCTCCTCATCGAAACTAAGCTAACCAACGATGCCGGATGGGACGCTGTCGAAACTCGGGTATCGATTCATGATGGGAGGCAGGAAAGAGCGGCGAGAGGAAAAGAGGGGCTCAAGTGAATGAGAGACCATCAGTTCCTGAGATATAAATCATGGGCATCTCCCGATCTCATAGCAATCCAAATTCATCATCACACTCTTCACTCAACAACAAACACTTCCAACACTTCTCTATATAAAGACGTTCCTCTCGTCTTTTGTCAATAACTTCATCAAACCTTTTTACCACACAAACAAAACAACCGACAAAATGGTACTTTTATCCCGCTCCGTTGCTTCTTCCACCTCATCCTCTTCAAGCACATTGCTAACAACACGACGTGAATAGGTCAAGGTTCTTGCGGTTCTCTATGACGGCGGCAAGCACGCCGAGGAGGTAAGATCTACATTTACTTACTCCACTCTGCGGGTTCGGGATCTGGCATGAACCTGGTTGGCTTCCGGCTTGGCATAGCGTGGTTGTTGGCTTGGCTTCATCGTCATCTTAGACATGATCGCGATCCATCTCATGGACATGGGCTAACAACTTTCAACTCATCAGGTCCCCGAGCTTCTCGGAACCATCCAGAACGAGCTTGGTATCCGCAAGTGGTTGGAGGACCAGGGCCACACTCTCGTAACCACCTGCGACAAGGACGGTGAGAACTCTACTTTCGACAAGGAGCTTGAGGATGCCGAGATCATCATCACCACTCCGTGAGTTCCCCTACAACTTTCCCCTACAGGTGTTATTCAATGCTAACCTCAACCACAGCTTCCACCCCGGCTACCTCACTGCTGAGCGTCTCGCTCGTGCCAAGAAGCTCAAGCTTGCCGTCACTGCCGGTATCGGTTCCGACCACGTCGACCTCAATGTCGCCAACAAGACCAACGGCGGTATCACCGTCGCCGAGGTCACCGGCTCCAACGTCGTCTCCGTCGCTGAGCACGTCATCATGACCATGCTCGTCCTCGTCCGCAACTTCGTTCCCGCCCACGAGCAGATCCAGGAGGGCCGCTGGGACGTCGCCGAGGCCGCCAAGAACGAGTACGATCTCGAGGGCAAGGTCGTCGGTACCGTCGCCGTCGGCCGTATCGGTGAGCGTGTCCTCCGTCGTCTCAAGGCCTTCGACTGCAAGGAGCTCCTCTACTACGACTACCAGCCCCTCTCTCCCGAGAAGGAGGCCGAGATTGGCTGCCGCCGCGTCCTCGACCTCGAGGAGATGCTCGCCCAGTGCGACGTTGTCACCATCAACTGCCCCCTTCACGAGAAGACCCAGGGTCTCTTCAACAAGGAGCTCATCTCCAAGATGAAGAAGGGCTCGTGGCTCGTCAACACTGCCCGTGGCGCCATCGTCGTCAAGGAGGACGTCGCCGAGGCCCTCAAGTCCGGCCACCTCCGCGGCTACGGCGGTGACGTCTGGTTCCCCCAGCCCGCCCCCGAGGACCACCCCCTCCGCTACGCCAAGAACCCCTTCGGCGGCGGCAACGCCATGGTCCCCCACATGTCCGGTACCTCGCTCGACGCCCAGAAGCGTTACGCCGAAGGCACCAAGGCCATCATCGAGAGCTACCTCTCTGGCAAGCACGACTACAGGCCTGAGGATCTTATCGTCTACAACGGTGACTATGCCACCAAGTCTTACGGTGAGCGCGAGCGCGCCAAGGCTGCTGCTGCCAAGTCTGCTTAAGGGAAGGGCTTTTTTGTACGATTGAATAGCGATGCATTTTAGGATAGATAACGGAATATCAATGATAATGTGACTTAACATACATCTTTGTCGTGAAGAACGGTGATAGTGACATGCGAGCGAGCGACGAACTTGACTGATATTTTGTATCCTTCGACAGACTTGGTCATTCATTGTGCACACCAGCCCTGCCTGTCTGTCAGCAAGAGAGTGAGTGGGTGAGTGGGTGTTGCGTGGCAAGCACAGATCACCACCACCACCACCACCCACCCACCCACGGTTAGTTAGGGTTTTTTTTTGCTACTCTTTAAAAAACCCAAAGAACACGCCTCTATGATTCTTAACTAGTTTGGAGCGCGCGACAAAAATAGCAAAAAGCTCAGTCAGTCGCCCAGGAGGTTTGGGGGAACGGGAACGAACCACCATGCTCTGCTCCAGCTGTACAACCTACCTACGAAAACTGTACCTCGCGAGGGTACCAACGCACGCCGCCCGGCAATGTTTTCATCAACGGGAACCACTGCGCCGTAAGACCACAGGGGCCCCCGTTGTGGTAGAGGGACTAGAATAGGTAACGGACCTTATATGGTGCGTTTGGTGCCTGGCGCCTGGTGCTTGGAGCTGAGGGATGCGATGGGATGAGATGGGATGAGATGGGATGAGATGGGATGAGATGGGATGAGATGGGATGAGATGGGATGAGATGGGATGAAAGGGGCCCGGGCGGGCTCTCGGAGTGAGAGTTGGGAGTTGCAGGTTGGGAAGGTACGCGGGTATGGATGCTGGCCAGCGGCTGATGAGGATGTCTACGGTGATGTTCATAGAGATACAGAACAAGGATCGCCGGTTTCCAGAACAGAACATGGCGAAAGGAAAATAAGAGTAGCAATGATTCTATATCTCTAACCTAACCTACCCTACTCGCCCTCTTCAATCATACAAACACCTATTATTCTTACAGTACACCCACCCCCCTCTAGACTACCAGTCCACCAGTCTCGACCGGGCAGTCTACATAACAACATTCAACAACCTCCCCCCCCTAACAACAATAACCTTCTTCGCCTTGTTCACATCCACCCCGTAGCGCCCCTCCAGCTTCGCTTTTCCTTCTTCCGTCCTCAACACCTCCGCCACAATAAACTCCCTCAATTTCTCGGTATCCTTTTCCAACCCGGCCGGCGGCGTCCCTATCTCCACCGCGAACTTGGTCTTGCCATTCAACTGCACCGCGCACGTCTGCTTCCTGCTCTTCAAGATGGCCTCGGTGCCATCTGGGGTTGGGAATCTTGCCGCTTCACTGGTCACATCAAACAGGCTGCTGCCGGCTTGGTTGGGGTACAGCACACTCCAGCACTCCTCGGCAAAGGCGGGCGCAATGGGCGCCATCATGCGGATCAGAGCGGAAACTGCTTCGCGCTTGATTAAGGGGTCGGCGGCGTCGTAGTTGGAGGAGGAGGCAATCACGTTGGTGAGCGACATCAGGTCTGAGATGACCGTGTTGAGGGTGTAGACTTTGTTGTAGGAAGCGGTGACGGAGGAGATGGTGCGTTGGACTTCGCGCCAGATGGTGATGGAGGCGTCGAGTTTGGCTAGGTCATCAACAGACTCAGATTTTTGTTGTTGTTGCTGTTCAAAGAAGGCCTTGACGTTGCTGGCCGAAGACGGGGTCTCAGCAGAGGAAGAGGCAGTGACGACCTTCTGCACCAAATCATAAACACGACTCAACCACCTCGTCACACCAGTAATCTTGTTCTCATCCCAATCCAAAATCTCGCTGACGGGCGCCTGGAAGAGCATGTGCGCGCGCGTGGCGTCGGCGCCGTACTGCGCGATGAACGTGGTCGGGTCCACGCCGTTGTGCTTGGACTTGGACATCTTCTCGTAGCTGACGTTGGCGAGCGCGCCCGTGGCCACCACCTTGGGTTCGTTCGGGTTGCTGAGGTCGACTTCGTCCGGCTTGAGGAAGCGGCCCGTGGCTGGGTCGGTGTAGGTCTTGCCGTGCACCATGCCTTGGGTGATGAGACGCTTGAAGGGTTCGTAGACTTCAGAGGACTCGTCGGACTCGGCAGCTTCGGTGGCGTTGGGTTCCTTGCCGGCAAACGAGGAGGTCATGAGGAACTTGTAGATGAAGCGGGAGTAGAGCAGATGCAGAATGGCGTGCTCGACGCCGCCGATGTAGAGGTCAACGGGAGTAAGGGCTTTGGCCTTCTCGGGCGAGAAGGGCGCCTCCTTGTTGTGGGCGTCGATGAAGCGCATGTAGTACCAGCTCGAGTCGACAAAGGTGTCCATGGTGTCGGTGTCGCGCTTGGCCTCGCCGCCGCACTTGGGGCAGGATGTGTTGATCCAGTCGGTCTGGGACTCGAGGGGGTTGCCAGTCTTCTTACCCGCCCAGTGCTCGTCGACTTCGGGGAGCACAACGGGCAGTTGCTCGTCGGGGACGGGGACGGTTCCGCAAGAGCCGCAGTGCACGATGGGGATGGGTGTTCCCCAGTATCTCTGGCGGCTGATCAGCCAGTCGCGCAGGCGCCATTTCTCGGTCTCCTTTGCGAGACCAGCAGGCTCAAGCAGCTTGACCAGCATCTCACCGGCCTCCTTGGACGACTTGTCCTTGAAGATACCACTGTTGGCGTTCATAACGCCGTGTTCAGTGAATGGCTCGTTGGGCATGGCGGTAGTCGTCTCATCCTCAGAAGCCGCTAGGACGAAGCGAACGGGAGCGTCGTAGTGGTGTTCCTTCCAGAAAGCATGGTCCCTCAGATCATGCCCAGGCACACCCATGACCGCACCCTCACCATAGTCACCAAGGACATACGGCGCAACGTAGATGGGAAGCGAGACCTTGGTGTCCTCGGGTGTCTCTTCGTGATAGGCCAAGGGGTTGACGGCGCGGATGTGAGGGAGCAGGTATCCAACCTTGGAGTCAGGAGGGAGTCCGGGCAATGTGCTGAGGAAGGCCTGAAGCTCGGGGTCGCTCTTTGCCAGTTGCTGAACAGAAGGATGAGTAGCAGCGAGGGCAATGTACTGGACACCAAAAAGGGTATCAGGACGACTGGTGAACACCTCGATGGCAGAGTGAGTGCCCTGGCCAAAAGCCAGGACGGGGAACTTGACAGTAGCGCCCTTGGACTTGCCCAGCCAATTCTTCTGCATGGCCAGCACTCTCTCGGGCCATGCCTCGTCCTTGGCCAGTGTCTCGAGGTCTTTGAGCAGGGACTCGCGGAATTCGGAGATCTTGAGAAACCACTGCTTCAGCCTGCGTTTCTCGACCTTGGCGCCAGATCTCCATGAGCATCCGTTGGCATCAACTTGCTCGTTAGCAAGCACGGTCTTGTCGACAGGGTCATAGTTGACCTCGGCTTCCGCCTGGTAGGCAAGACCCTTCTCATGGAGAGCGAGGAAGATCTTTTGCGTATGCTGATAGAAGTCGGGGTCGCAAGTGGCAAGTTCCTGGGTTGGGTTAGCATGTAGTTTCATAGTAACATAAAGTGTGGAATACGCACACAGTTCCAGTCCCATGAGCCGTTCATGACATCCAGCTGCTCCTTCATCCTAGCGATATTGGCCTTGGTCCATGTAGCCGGGTTAATGCCTCTCTCAATGGCAGCATTCTCAGCTGGCAATCCAAAGGCATCCCAACCCATGGGCAACAGGACCTTGTGGCCCTGGAGAGTTTGGAACCTCGCAATCACATCGGCAATGGTGTAGACTCTGAGATGGCCGAGGTGCAGATAGCCCGACGGATAGGGAAACATGGGGAGAACATATTTGTTCTTTTCGTCCTCCTTTGCGCCCTTCTCACGGCTCGACTCGGACCATTTCTGGCGCCATTTTTGGTCGAGGGCAGGGAAGTCTAGCTTGTGGTCGGCATAGAATCTCTTCCAAGACTCGGTGTCCAAGTGTTGAAGGACAACGCCAACAGGGCGTCGGGGAGAAGCAGCAAGAGAAGCAGCCGCTGAGGAGAGGACTGGTCGTAGTGATGAGCCCAGCTTGGGCACTAACCGGCCGAGCGGCCTTGCGCAAATGAGAGGCATCGCGTTGTTTTTGTTTGGGCTGATTATCACATTGCCTGGTCAACCGGCGGGGAAGTTCAGTTGGAGGAGGAGACAGCCGAAGCAGAGCTCTTTAGAAGTGCATGTTCATCCGATTTGATTGCATCCAGAGTCAACGGGCAGCTGCGTCCTCAGTCTTTTTGTTTACATGGTCGTTGCTCCCAAGTCAACAAACAATAAATAAATCCAAAGCTCCCTCATGCTGCGATAGAGCAATATTCTCGACTTAGAAGCTGTTGTATTCAACATCGGGAGTCAATTTTTACTTTTCTTGGCTTTATCGATCTGCAGGGTATCTTGAGTCCCAGGTACAAAAGGTGAAGCTGCAGGACTGTTATCCAGAGACTCGCAGACTTTAGATACTGGTTGTGATACATATAAAATCTTTCTCAGAGTAAAGTAATTGGAAATAACAATGTCCTCAAGCACTAACAAAGTTAAGCATAATCATCCAATTCCAATATTCACAGTTCGCATGACTTTCATCATCAAGTCACTGGTACTTTGCAGATGAAGAACAACAGCCCGCCAACTGCCAGATGGGTCACGGTGGGAGTGCACAGACCAGGCAAACTGGAGGTCAAGGTCATGGTGTGGAGCGTGCCCCTTGAACCTGCTTCTTGGCCCGCAATTGGCCCGCATTTGGCTTGTCTTGCCTGCCGGGGAAACTGGGGTGCTACCCGCCGCCCCGTACTTTGGGCCCTGTTTCCATCCAGACTTCTCTGAAGCTTCCAGGGCAGCTTGTCGCGGTCACTGTCACTGTCACTGTTCAAAGAAAAAGAGGGCGTCCCTGACAAGCCTCCTTTTCCCCAGATTCGGCCAGAGACACCATCCCACATTCTAGACTCTTTTTTAATTCCTTTCTTCTCTGTGTTCTATTAGCTTGCTATTCAAGCCTCACCATTGGAAACTGTGTTAACCACTAGCCACGATTATAACGAAAAGAGATACCCTCCACTACCACTATTACAACCACTTAATACCAACCACCTTGACCGAGACTTGCGCCAATCTCTATCTTGAACAATTCTTTACTCGACAACCGAGTCGCATAAGTTTCAGCTATACGGCTATGATCCCCTTGTCAACATAAACACTCCCGAGTTTACAAGTTCGACCGACCGAGCGCCCCCAGAGGTAGCACCCGAGACATGCCACCATTGTACTCTCACAACCTGGAACCCGGGCGCGACTCGCTAGAACTCGCCTCTCTAGCTAGCTCAGACCGCGGGCCTGACACCGGCGACGATACCAGTTCCCGTCCGAGTATATCTTCGTCGCGAAAGCTCTCACTCGAGCGAGAGGACCCCCTGGACAATGGCAACTACGCTGCCTCGGGCCACCGTGTGCGCCCAGAACGATCCATGTCTGTGAACTCTACATTCAGCTTCGCCGCCAACCTCTTTCCTCTATCGTCGACAACCGGAGGCGGATATGCCCCGCTGGGCGCACCCACAGCAACGAGGGGTCATGGCAATGGCGGCTTGGGAGGAGGCTCGTTGGAGAAGCACAAGACCTTGACCTACCTCAATGGTCTGTCCCTGATTGTGGGCTTGATTATCGGATCCGGCATCTTTTCTTCGCCTAGTCAGGTCAACGCCAATGCAGGGTCGCCTGGAGCAGCCATCATCGTATGGGTTGTGGCAGGAATTTTGGCTTGGACGGGCGCCGCAAGTTACGCAGAGCTGGGAGGTGCCATACCATTGAACGGAGGCCCGCAGGTATACCTCTCCAAGATCTTTGGAGAACTGGCCGGATTCCTATTCACATGGGTCGCGGTGCTGGTCCTGAAGCCTGGTAGCGCTGCCATCATCTCCATCATCATGGGCGAGTACCTGGTGAGGACCTTCATTGGCGCTGAAGCCGAGACCATCAACCCCTGGATCAGCAAGTCGGTCGCGCTGGTCGGACTCTTTCTGGTCACCTTTCTGAACTCGGTCTCGACCAAGCTCGGGACAAGGATGAACGATATGCTCATGTTTCTCAAATTTGTTGCATTGCTTGGCGTTACCATTATTGGCATTGTTGTTGCGGCGACTGGATTCTCATTTTCCGGGGCGGCAAATCTCGACTGGAAGAAGCATGACTGGTTTGAGGGGACCAAGATGGATGCGTCGGCTTTTGCGGTGGCCTTGTATGCCGGTCTTTGGGCATTCGATGGATGGGATAACGTAAGAGTTTCCTCTACCCCTTTTGTTGACTCTCGCTAACATGATCTCAGACCAATTATGTGGTTGGCGAATTCCGCAACCCCGGCCGGGACCTCCCGCGCGTCATTCACACAGCCATGCCCCTCGTCATTCTGAGCTACATCCTGGCCAATGTGGCTTACTTCTTCGTCCTTCCCCTGGATACCATCAACTCGACCAACACGGTGGCCGTCATTTTCGGTTCCAAGGTCTTCGGCCCCGTTGGCGCGCTAATCCTCGCTCTTATCGTCAGCGCCTCCTGCTTCGGCGCTCTCAATGCCTCCACCTTCACCAGCAGCCGCCTCGTCTACGTTGCCGGCAAAGAAGGCTATATCCCCGAGCTCTTCGGGCGCATTGGCAGCGGTACCGCCGTTGACCAACATGAATCTCTAACTACCACGCGCACTCGCTCGTGGTTCACCAAGAAGCTCATCCGCATTGTTGCCGATGAAGATACCGGTCTCTTCTACACACCTATCCCCGCGCTCATGCTCAACTGCACCCTCACGGCCGCTTACGTGTGCGTGGGCGAGTTTGGCACGCTCGTCACCTTCTACGGCGTGGCTGGCTATACCTTCTACTTTGTAACAGTGCTGGGCCTGATCGTGCTTCGGGTTAAGGAACCTAATCTCGAGAGGCCGTACAAGACGTGGATCACCACGCCTATTATCTTCTGCTGCGTGAGTCTGTTCCTGCTGAGCAGGGCCGTCTTTGCCCAGCCGCTGCAGACGTTGTTGGTTGTGGCTTTTGTGGTGGTGGGCGTGCCGGTGTACTATTGGAGGAGGTATGTGAACGGACGGAGTGCCGTTAAGAGAGAAGTGGGAGGGATGAGGGAGGTGAGGGAAGGGAGACCGTGGTGGAAGTTTTGGCAGAGGAGGTAATGAGGATTTGGTGCTGGCTGGTTAGCCAACGCTGCCTCTTGGATAGTGATGAAGGTTGTTTATGAACAAGAAGCCTTGTCTCCTGGCAAGGTAACTTTCTTGCTGAATATCTTAATGACCGAAAGGATGAATAAAACGTCTAGATACCCGGTACTCAGTACCGCAAACAAATATAACTGCTGGGATTCCTCCTGCGTGACTGAGTTTCTACTGCTCCTTGCCTTGGTATGTACCGGGCTGTCAAATACTCAGTATCATGAGGCTTGATCCGATTCGAGCACCGGTCGATCGTGAAGACCTGACCTCCAAAGGGCGTTGCCTTCGCAGGGAACTGATCCGCATAAACCCTAACCCTGAAGCCAACACCAATTCTTGACTTAAACCTCACTTTCTCATTTTCCACTCAACCACAACAGTCGGTCCATGTACATATTTCCGACTGACTCAGGCGGTGTTCACTCTCTCAACCCTCCCCGCCGTTTTCTTTCCTTTTTTTTTTGTCTTGTCTCTCCGGTCATCCCCTCAGTACAACCTTCCGCTCTCGCTGAAAGAGAGTGAAATTTTCACCATCATTGTTCCTGCCGTTTCCGAGTCGAATAAGAACAACAAAAATGAGTAGCCGACTCCTCCGTCCGTTAACACGGCGTCTGCCACCAACAAGCCCAGCATGCCTCCGACCGGGCAGGCCAGGGACATACAGCGTCTCTCATTTCATCCCAGTAGTACACAGCAACACCACCTTTCTCCAGATCCGAAATATCTCCAAGCCATACTCCTCCAAAAACAAGCTCTCCCCCGGCGAAGGCATGGGTCATCCACCCACCCCCCATAACCAAAAACAAGAACAACAATCCAACCAAGACCAAGACGGCCAAAAATCCGACGGATCATCATCATCATCAAACTCCAACTCCAAAACCTTCTTCAAAAAACCCAGCCTCACCAACACCCTCCTCATCGCCGCCTTTTTGTCGGGGTACCTCTTCCACTCCATCATCCTCCGCCCCAACGACCTCTCCCTGAGAGACGTCCCCGTCCTTTTGGGCATCACCTCCCCACCCACGCTCAACACCACTTCCTTCGTTCCTTACACCATCGTTGAGCGCGAGCAGGTGTCGAGTACAGCTTTTGTTTTGGTGGTTGAGCCGTTTAATCCGCTCCACAACAACGTGAGGAATGACCTCCAAGAGGCCTGGCATCACGGCTTGTGGTGCGTCGAGATTAAACAGCCGCAGTTGCAGGTGGCGAGGGATTATACCCCGCTTCCGCCGCCTGTTGGACAAGAAAAAGAGGACATGGGTAGGGGACGGTTGAGGTTCCTGATTAGAAAGATGGAGGGCGGGGAGGTGAGCGGTTATTTGAGTAAGCTGAAGGTGGGGGATAAGGTGGAGTTGAGGGGGCCGCATTTGGGGTTTGATGTTGCGAAGAGGCTTGGTTTGGAGGGCACATCTGGGGAAGAGCAGGGACAGGGACGGGTGGTCTTCCTAGCTGGAGGCACCGGCATCGCGCCGGCGCTGCAGGTGGCTAGGAGGTTGTACGGTCCTGTGTATGAAAAGGGAACCGGAAAAGAGGAGGAGTGGAAGCAGGTGGAGGATATGCCGACAACGCCACCGAAGATGACGATTGTGTGGGCGAATAGGTTGAGGGAGGATTGTCCTGATTGCGAGGACTTGGAGGCGTTGAGGAAGAGGGGGTATTTAATACCTCCTCCTTCTCTTAACGCTAAGAATGCCGCTGCTGGCGCTGGTGCTGGTGGTATCATGCCCTACCTCCAGGACATCAAAGCCCATCACCCCGAGCAGTTCAACTTCGCTTGCACGGTTGACACGGAGAAGGAGTTTATTGACGCCAAGACTATTATTGACGCTGTTGTGTCTACCACCACCCCCAACCCGAAGAAGTCTTCTTCTTCTTCTTCTTCCACCACCACCCTCGCCAAGAGCACGACGACAAACCCCTCTTGCCCCCTCCATTCCTCATCTGCCCTAATCTCCGTCAGCGACAGACAAGACCACGAAGCCAAGTGCAAGTGCGCTTCTCATGCTAACGGCAAGAACCTCCTCATGGTGTCCGGACCGGACGGGTTCATTGCTCGTTTCGCTGGTCCCAAGGCGTGGTCCGAGGGCTTGGAGAGGCAGGGGCATGTGGCCGGGGTGGTGAATGAGTTGATGAGGAGGGGGAAGGTGAGGAAGGAGGAGTGGATGGTTTTGAAGTTGTAGGGTTGGTTGGGTCGATGTCAGTGGCTGATGAGTACGAGATGGGATGGGAGGAAAGGAGGGAAAGGTAGTAGGAAATGGGAAGGAAGAGAAACGTAGGGCAACGTTAGTAAAACGGGCAGAGGTGTTGGGAGGAGCGAGTCCGCGGTTTCTTGTTTGTTCACTGCTTTCTGGTAGATGTTATCTGTATTTTGTACCATTATTCGTTGTAAGATGTAGAGCAAGACCTTAAACTAGACTAGACCTGGGAATTGAGGAGTACTTGGTTAGGATTTTACAGGTGCAACTAGCGAACGTTGGAAACTGAGGGATTTTCTAGAAGCCTATGTCATAGATCATATGTCTTTGTATGAGTGGAAGAGGTTGGGATAGGTTAAAGGAATAGATCACTGCTGCTTCTATATCCTTCTTCTTATGGTCTAGAAACTGGATATCCTAGCTCTGTATCTCCTATTCGCATCACCGTAGACATCCATCCTCATCAGCCACTGGACACCATCAAGCCAGACATCCCCTGCCTTCCCAACACGCAACTCACATTCCGAGCGCGGGCCCTTTCATCCGAACCCTCCGGCTCCAGGCACCATATAAGGTCCGCTACCTAGTCCCTCTACCACAACGGGGAGCCCTGTGGTCTCATGGCGCAGTGGTTACCGTTGATGAATAACTTAGCGCGGCGATTTTCGTAAAGTCTGCAGCTGGGGCGTTGTCGTTCGTTCTACAAGCCTACCTGGGCGACTTAGCTTTTTGCTATTTTTGTCACGCTCCAAACTGATTGAAAGTCGTGCAGACACGTTCTATGGATTTTTCTCTTTCATTTCCACCCTCAAAAAATATTAATAAGGGTGCTAGCAGTTGACACTTCTTCGCCCGTCTTGCTCCCATTTACACATCATGATCAACCACCCCAACCCTCCTCAAATATACACTCCTCCCATGCCCCTCCGGATGACCCTTCACCACAATCTTTTCATTTCGTCCACCCACTCCCACCTCCAAAACCTCTTCATATCCTTCAAATCCCACCAAATCATCCCTCCAGATCTGCACCGCTCCCCCAGCCCCTTTTTCCTTTTCTTCATCAGTCCCTTCCCCCCAATAAAGTCTCCTCAGTTTCCCATCCCCCAAAACCATCCCCGCCACCCGTTTCGCCTGCTCCATATCCCCGACCTCCATCAGCACCCTTTTTGGCCCGTATGTCCTGGCGATTTCTAGTAAGCGGGCATAAAACACGTCTTCTGGTTGGTAGTCAACCTTTCGGAGTAAGTTTTCGTTGTCCGGGTAGTAGTGATCGTAGAAATGCTTCTGGTGTAAATCTACCCTCTCGACGGGCGGGACGAGAGCGAGCTTGGGCTCCCAGTTGCGCACGGAGCGGGAGGTGGAGAGGGCAAAGCCCGAGGGGGAGATGTAAGGGGGGTTGGAGGTTAGGAGGTCCCATTCCCCTGTCCCTGCTGTAGAGGAGGTAGATGATGATGATAAAGGGGTGGTGGAGAGGATGGGATCGAGAGAGGAGGGAGAAAAAATGTCGGCTTTTAGGAAGTGGATTGATCTTTGCGTATGGGAACTGTCTGAGGTTGAGGGAGGGGGGAAGCGGTCCGCACGGAGATTGTGATGCAGGTTTCGCCGGGAGAGGTTGATGGTTTTTTGGGAGATGTCTACTCCCACCACGTTTAGAGATTGGGAGGGGAGAGAGCGGGAGAGTTGGGAGTAGAGGAGGAGGGGAATGCAGCCTGTTCCGGTGCAGAGGTCGATTATGTTGAGTGGTTGGCCTGGATCTGATTTGGAAAGAGAGCGGCGAAGGATGTTGGAGAGGTGGATGGTGTAGGATTCTGTTTCGGTTCTTTTCAATTAGGCATTTGGAGAGCGTTAGTTACATATGTGTGAAGAGAGAATAGTGGAGGGTGTGCCTACCTAGGAATCAAGACGCCTGGTCGGCACTTGATTTCGAGATCACCAAATGGCTGGTTGCCTAGTACGTAAGCCAAAGGGAGACCATTGCCTCGCTTGTCGCAAAGCTTCCATACTCGGGCACCGAAGGGGATGATGGAAGGGGTTTCGGCGACGTGCTGTTTGATCCAGCGGAGCTCGTTGGCGGTTGATTCTAGGGTTCGACAGACGGGAAGAAGTTTGGCGGCGTTGAGACCTAGTTTCTTTCGGCCTTGCCAGAAGAGTTGGGGTTTGATTCGTGGCATAATTTTTGAAGAAGTTGTCACGAGAAGTTGTTTCTGCTTCACAGCCCCAGTCTGTATTGACTTTGGTGGATGATGTTGTAGTTGCGAAGTGATAACGAAAATGTGACGACTTTGAATTTTATTTTTCAGATTCCCTTTACTATCTAGCTATTTAGTAATATGAACCCAGACTGAGAGAAAACCATCCAAGAACCTGAAGAGAAGGTGAGCCGAACTCACTAAAGTCTGTATGTTTATGTACATGACCGAAGTCAACTCGGCGGTTGGAAGTTGATGTGACCGGGTACCCTTTCCGTGGAGATTATGCTCTGATCTTATCAGATTATATAAGCTGTTCCCCTTCGATGACGCCAAAAGTTAAGGTACCCCTGCAGTTCAGCACTCGTAACTCCGAGCTCTCCGTAGACACAACCACCACCATCACCAACCTACATTTGCGACAACGGCGATATAAAAGACGGCACCCCCAGCCCCGATATTAGGCCTTACATGGCTACATAACTTTGCCAATTTCACAACCACCGATAACACCATGCTCCTCCTCCGACCCCTCCGCCAGACATCACGAGTAGCAACCGCGGCCTTGAGCGCTTCGACAGCGCGGGCTTGCGCTCAACGCTCCAGCAATGCCACATTCTACCTCCGACGCACCTATGCAGCAAGAGGCGCACCCGCGAGCTTCCCAACAATCGATACTTGCCCGTCGCCCACCTGCTCATGCGCTCCGACTCCCACGTTCCCCGAAGGCTTCGAGATCGATCACACCACGCCTCTCAACGGTCTTATGCCAAACCACGCCCAGCAAGTCCTAATCTGCACCGGCAAGGACGACTGGCCATCCAAAATCGAGGATGATGACAATGGCCAAAACCATGCCGCCATGCTGCGCGATCTGATCGGCCGTGGAGGTCCCTATAACGATGTGAGTTGACCGAATAAAGCCCATGGAAAGAAAGGTCCAATCACTACAAGACACCACGAATATGGGGATGGTACAAGAATAGAGAAAAAAGAAAGCAGTAATGGCTAACAGGTAAGTTCCCACCTCCCCCTTGAGGCTGAGGTGTTTCCCCAAATCAACAGCCCTTCCACAACATCTCCGTCCTCAACGTCTCCTTCCCCCCATCTTCTTCTTCTTCGCCCTCCGACGCCCCCACGAACACCAAAACAACATCAATCTACCTCCTCCCCGACTTCAAATACCTCCCCTCCCTCTCCTCCGACCCCAACCACCTCAAAGCCCTCGTAAAAGCCCACCTCCTCCCCGAAAAGCTGCACCCCGTGCACGACCACTCGCCGCCCGCCAAGCGGGAGGCACTTCTCTGCGATCCCACGTACGCCGATCTGGTGCCCGGGATTCGTGATATAAAAAACGAGGTGATCGTGTTGATCTGCGGCCATGGCGGGCGGGACCAGCGGTGCGGGGTGTACGGGCCCCTGTTGCGGACCGAGTTCGAGGCGAGGCTGGCGGAGCAAGGACCTGAAAAGATCGAGGTGCTAAAGGGCGCTGCTGCGCCTGCCGAGAAGGAGGACCTGGAGGAGGAAAGTAAGAAGGTCTGGGGAGCGAGGGTCGGGCTGATTAGCCATATCGGTGGCCACAAATTCGCGGGCAACGTGATTGTTTATATTCCGCCGGGGTTGAAGATTTATGACTCGGACGTGCCGCATCCACTGGCGGGACATGGGATTTGGTACGGGCGGGTTGAACCGAAGCATGTGGACGGGATTGTGAAGGAGACGATCGGGAAGGGGAATGTGATTAAGGAGCTGTTTAGGGGCGGGATTAAGCAGGGTGGTGAGATTTTGAGGTTGCCTTTGTAGAGTTCGGTAGATGTAGGTGTAGGGTGTTTGAGTAGTTCGTGAAAAAGTCTTGATAGCTGAAATACAATTCGAACCACGGCTGCGAAGAAAGCACTTGATTACTGTGACATCGCTAGATACCCCTATATACACAGTAGACTTAATGTGCACTTCCAGGTTACGAATGCAAGCAGCCCACCGTCCGTCCACCTTTTGGACGGGTTGGCGGACAATGTCATCGTGCACACCAAGCTCCTGTGCGAATTGATACTGGTGATGGTGATCTGACAATAGTAGTATCAGCGCTATACCAACTTGTGTATTGTGTAGTACGTCTAGTGTAGGAAATCAAAGTCTGGAAAAAACGCCGGCCTATGCAGCCTCGCAGCACCACTTTTTCAACCCACTGCCTCCCCTCCCAACTCAAGCTTTCTTCAAGCCTTCTAACTTTATATCCCCTGAACCTTCCTATACGAAGGCGGTTTCATCGTCCTCCTAATCACCTTGGCCGCATACGTCGGAATGAGCGAAATGGCAGCAATAGCAGCCACGCGCCACAAGAAACCCCTGTTCCCGTTAGTAACCATCATCTCTAACCCGAAGCCGTGGAGAGGTAATACTCACAAAGTCAAAACAAACTTCAAATCAAAATACCCTCCCAAAAACGGTATCGAAACAATATACATCAGAAACGTCCCCACAATCGAGACCACCATGACCCAATGCCACGTCGTGATCTCGATCGCCACCATCAGCAGCTCGTTGAGCACGAGGACCGTGTAGCTGACGGCCAACATGCGGGGGCCATCGACGCCGGTGAGCACTTGAGACAGGCCCTGGATCAAGCAGCCCTGGTAGATGGAGACAAAAACCCAGACGAAAAAGGTGCGGTAGGAAAGAGAGCTGCCGGAGGTTAGCTCCTTGTAGAGCTCGGGATACAAATTGGCGAGGTCTTCGTCTACGTCCTTGTCGAGGACGAGGGAGAGAACCGGGAAGGCGGTGTAGACTGTTGCGTAGCCTACCATTAGCCAGTCCTGTGTTTTTGGTTAGTGACTGCGACTGCAACGAAAGGGATGACCTGGGAGGGAAACATACCTTGTAAAGACCCTCCGGCTCGAACTTCAACGCAATACTGTACATAGTCTGACAAACAGCAATAATCAAGCCACGGTGGATAACAAACTGCGCCAGCTTCGCGCTGCGCTTATAGCTATTACGACCGTGCCAGACCAAAAGCTTCGTCAAATGGTGGAACTGCTCAATGGAAAAGTCGGCCGCCAAACTAGCCTGACGACCCTCCTTGCCCACAATACCCACACCCACGTCCGCAGCCTGGATCATGGAAACATCGTTTCCACCGTCTCCGATGCAGCAGACGCGCTTCTTGGTGTACTCCTTGATCAGCTTGGCGACCTCGGCCTTCTGCGTCGGCGAGCAACGGCAGGCCACGACGGTCGGCAAGAGCACAGCTACCGAGATGAACTCGCGCCGGAAGTGGGTCAGGTACATGGCCAGGGACTCTCCGTCGATGAGCAGACAGGAATCGGTCTTGCTCCGAAGCAGGTCCAGATTATCTTGCGCACCATCCTTCCTCCTGAGCTTGGCGATAGTGTGGATGTACTGACCCCTGGCAACGAGCTTGGAGCTCACGGCGACGCAACGAGCGGTTTCCACCTTGTCGCCGGTAAGCATCCAGATTTTGATACCGGCGTTGCGAAGAAGCTCCAGAGACGGCTTGACGTCTTTCTGCAGCTTATCTTCGACACCCGTCACGCCGAGCAGTTCTAGGTTATGCTCGAGGTACTGCGAGACGACAGCTTGCATGTTGGCTTCGCGACCGCTGATGGCGAGCGAGGCCTCGTGGTGCTTGGCAGAAAATTCCTGATATTCCTTCAAAGACAGACGCTTCCTGCCGACCACGAGCGTGCGGAGACCTTCACGCGCCATGTTCGCCGTCTCCTCGTCGAGCCAGTCGTTGGCGGCGACGATGGAGCTCATGACGGTGTCTGCACCCTTTTGATAGAACCAGATTTCGCTGCTTCCGAGGCTGGGGTTTCCGGGTTGGAGCTTTTCGTAGAACTGGACAATGATGCCCATGCGCTTGCCCTCTGAGGTGAAGGGGAATATGTCGAGAATACGAACCTTGACCACCGGCCGGCCGGTTTCGGCGGATTCGAGGACGATGTTCTTGCGATCTCGGTGAGCCAGACGCAGGCCTACGGATTCGGTCCATTTGACAATGGCAATCTCGTCAGGCGAGCTGGCTTGATATGAGTTGACAGTTTGACCGTTCTCGTCTTCTTCCGAGGTCGGGGTAACATTGTGGCAGAGGGCAAGAGCTAGGACGACATCGCGGACACGCGACCCAATCTCACGGCGTGTTCTCGTAGCACCAACGTTGGCGGCCGAGTATGCCGAGGACGGGGTTGCTAGAGCCAGGCTTGCGGAAGAGGCCGAGGAGCTCAGGTTGAACCCTTGCTTCACGTAGGTGGCAACCTCGTCCATTGCTTCGTTGGCATATGAGACAGTGCCGACGTGGATCTTCTTCATCTCCATTTCGTTTTGGGTTAAGGTGCCCGTCTTGTCACTCAGAAGATACTCTATCCGTCCCAGATCCTCAGGAATCGTACTGGTTCGCACAACAGCCCCGGGGATCCCAGGATCTCTTTGGATAAACCATGAGTAGACAGACTTGCCGAGATCCAAGTTGACACGAAGACTGATGGGAACAATGGTGGAGAACAATACCAAGAATCTCATGATCTTAACGTACCAGACGTTTCCCTTGGCCGTGCTGAAGCCTTCCAGAGCAACAAGAACGATAGACAGGAACAGTGTGAGGAAACACAGGATTTTGGTGAGTGAGTTGATCTCATACTCCAGAAGGCCGGTCTTTGATCGCGAAGGTGATGTAGACAAAGCTGACCGGGTTTGGGGTCCGGTATAAACAATAACTGCGAGGGTTGTCGCATTCGATGCGATGACGGTATTTGCCCAAGCTGTGTTGTCAATCGAGAGGGGCGCTGCCTTGATATCGTCGCCCTCCCTAGGGTTGTAGGCGGCACCGCTCATTACATCCTGTCGCGAAGGGAGAAGTTCCAGTGTTCCGACGAACTCGTTGACCCTCTTGTCAGGCTTTCCGGCTGTAACGCGAAGACGAACCAGTTCTTCAGTGCCGAGGTTCTGAGATAACGGGGATGCCAACCGCAGCTTCCAATCAGTTTCACCATCCAGTTGATCAGTCCGAATAAAAGTCTCGCCGCTAGAGCTTCCCTCGGCGCCCTTGTTGTCGTTCTCCGTAGACGTTTCCGCGTTCTTGGAACTGCCCTCCCCGGCACCGTCATCCTCGACATGATCCAGCAGTAGCACCTCCTCCTTCGCAGGTACCTCCTCCTCAGCCTCCTTGTTGGCACTCGACTCATGCGTCAAGCACTTGAGAATGATAACATCCGCCGGAACGCGATGGCCCTTGGTAAGCTTCAAGACATCACCGACTTTGAGATCCCGCGACTTTTTGCTGATTTCCGAAACGTAGGATGCCGGTAGGTTGCGAAGACCCTGACCTTCAGCCTGTTCCTCTTCTTCCTGGATATCCGACAAGCGGTCAGTTTCCTGCTCAATGCCAAGACGTTTAGAGCCCTTTCGTGTATGCGACGATTTCATCTTCCTCCTCGGCCTGTTTATGCCCAAGCTTGCCCCTGGATCCTCAAACTGTAGGACGGTGTACTCTTCGGAATTCGCCTCATTATCTCTCCTCCTCCTCTCGATATCGTCGTAAGCCTCTTTTGCTAGGGTGATGAACAAGACGAATGCCAAGGGTGCAACATAAGTGGAGAGATAGCCGATTCGTAGTGCGGGGATGGCCTGTGAGAGGGCGACCAGGAGGAAGTACAGGTTGAAGAAGAAGGAGAACTCGTTGTATAGAGTGACTGGCAGAAAACTCCATGCGGTGTACTTTGCGTTGGATATGATGTTGGGTGGGAAACGGGTAGACTGCGATGAGCCAACTGCAACTAATCGTGACGATGAGGGGTCATCCTCCTCCTGTTCTTGTTCCTCGCTATGGCTGCTCTGGTCACCCGACATAAAGCTTGGTAGCTTCATCGAGATGTTTCGAAGACCGTCACTGGCGAACGACCTGCGTCGTCTTCCGCTACTGGTTCGCATGCGGCCGCCACCGCCATGTTCGCTGAGAAGGCCGGCATCCTCGTCGTGGGTGGCACTACTGACGGAGTAGTCATGGCGGAGCAGAGCGTCGGCGTCCTCGTCGTTTCTATCTCGGCTACGGCCTAGCTCGCCATATCCATTGCGTTTGGCGCCACGGCGTAGACCACCCATGCGAAGATTGCGAAGTGCTATACTTGGAGGAGGAGGACGTTGTTCGGACTGCTGCTGGTGGTTAGTGGGATCGTTTGCCTGGGGATCGAGTTCTTCGAGGTCTATCTCCAAGTCGGAGTCGGATTCATCGACGTGGGAATCGGGCGGCTTGGAGAGATGGTATGGGTCTGAAGAAGGCATTCCGCATTGGGCGAAGCCCTTTCCTCCACAAGTAACGTATTTCTTCCAAGTATCTGTCGCGGCCTAACTGTAGCTAAGGTAGCTTGGGCTGTGGTCGTGACTGCTTTCGGATCTGGTTGGTTTGTTTGGGTTGAGTTAGAGGGGTCGCTTGGGAGGGTCCTCTTTGTGTCGAGATCAACTCCTCCTTCCCATAAATAGTGGCCGTGGTTGGTAGTCTAGGTGCGTCTGTCTGCTGCTGGGTGCTGTTGGGTGCTGTGTGTGCTGCGCTTGCAAGGGGAGTCGAGATAGTGGGTGTGTGTAAGGTAAGTTGATAAAGTTAGAGGTACTGCTGGGCAAATACTCCAGTCGTGAATCGTGCGAGTAATTCGTATAATGTTTAAGTCGTCGTGGCATAAGTATAGTCCGTCGTGTCGCACAGCTGGGGAAAGATGGCGATCGCATGTGATGGAAGAAAGTCACAAACGGAGAACGGAAACTAACAAAGTGCCTGGTGAGTGGCAGTG